ACAGGGGAATTTCCCAAGCAAATAACATCTATTCTCACCGTTTTTGATGTAGATGCATAACTCATTGCATCGGTACATTTGCCTTTAGGTCCAACAACCACCTTTGTAGAGTGGCCCCACCTCACCCCTCTACCCCACCCTTCTCCTCAAAAAAACCAAGCTGTATGCATTATAGTTGCCTAATCATAATTTCAGCAAATGAAATGAGCACTTTCCTCATTGTTCAAATAAACAGAGAAATACTAGATATTAATAAGCACAGCACTCACTTCCCTGGACATGTTTCCATCCAAGGAAGAAAATGATCAGGTTTAGGACGTATCTGCTAGTTCAGTGGTTTCCGTCCTCCCAGGTTCATTTTTGTCACTGAGATGTATGTAAATTATCCTCTCTCAAGAAGTACGTTAAATATAACTGTCAAAACCCAAGAGTTGTTTCAACAAGACTACTTTGCCTACTTTAGCAACTATGAATCAAATTATTGAAATATGCACAAATTATACAACCAGGAAAATCAAAGAAGGGAAAACTTGAATAGTCAGTAAAGTTATAAAAGATGGCTGAACTCACAGATAATCAGAAATGCAAATTAAAAAATCCTATACAATATACCATTTCACCTGCTCTGAACGAGAAAATTAAGGTCTGAAGATATTACAGGTTCGGTGAGGATGTGGAAAAAGGAAAACACTCATTGATATATTATATGCTCCACTTTGGAAATCAAATCAGCATTTCCACTTCCAAGTACCTACCCTAAAACCCCCCACATGTGCAGAAGAAACGTACAAAAATGTTTCCTGTAGCATTGTTAACGATAAGACAAAACTGGAAATGACTTAAATGACCACCAACAGGAGAATGGATAAATGTTAATATTCAAAATGAAACTGCATCCAACCAGGACAAATAAATGAATAAAACTACATGTAACAAAGTAGATAATTCAAAATTAGTCAAAATAAAAAAGCTGCAAAATAATACAATAATACATGTGTGAGACTATTACATAAAGTTTCAAATCTGAAAGGAACACTATGTGATGTTCATGTCAAGGGATGCAAAAATATGTAGTAAAAGTATAAAAACATTCATAAGAAAGCTAAACACTAAACTCATGATGGCGATGCTCCCTTTACAGGAAAGGAGGGAAATGAGAGGAGACAGGAGCCTCATTCATATCTGTAATCTTTTATTTTTTTAAAAAAATGTTCTAGAGCAAATATGGCAGAATATTATTATTTAATAAAGCTGGGAGTTAAGTACATTAGTGTTTGCTATATTACTGTCTACTCTTGTCTGCATGTTTGAAATACACTGTTAAAGAGTGAGTAGGAGGGTGAGAGCAAAGAAGGAAACACATATGCCAAGGTGATGCCATATCCATAGGGTAGGGCATCCATTCCCAGACAAAAGGTTGGGTGCTCAACTTAAGTGGGCTTCAGGGATCCAAGAGGCAAGTCTGCAGGAAGTTTCAGATCACTTTTGCCAGGGAGCTAACAACCTTGGGAGGCTCTGACTCAAGTCACTGTCCTTTCTTTAAGTTGCCCAATTCCTTCATTTGGACACACAACGATGGTACCTGCTCCATGGTTGATAACCAAGCGTTCTTACAGGTAACCATTAGCCATAACCAGGCACATCATTTCTGCTCTCTGTCAGCAATCTTCCTCTTGAACGTCATGAAAATCCTTACGATTCATTCTTTGTAGCCTACAATGAATTGCTTTCTTCCAAATGTCTCAATCAATTTAAGCTAAACATATCCTTTGTCTATCTTTAGGCTCTTAAACTGTCTGGCATTGCTTATTACAAAGAACACAAAAAGATTTTGTGCATTCAAAGGGAAAAATCAGGATCAAGTGAGACCATAAATCAAGGCATAAAATTAAGTCCTTTTCCTGTGTCAAAACTTAAGATTACCCCAAAGCCCCTTCCCTAGAAGACTGATATGGTGGGGGTGGGGAAGGAAGTTCCTTCTGTCAGAGAAAAACACTGGAGATAAGAAAAGGGGGACTGAAACACAATTTAAGCAGCATTTTGCATTATTATAACCAATACTCTATATTTTGTGATAGTTCTCACAGGATATGTGGAACATAAAATACAGTGCTATTTTTAACACTGAAATTAGAATCAGCCACTCTATAGTTTATAACATACAATTTAGAGAGTAAAAACATATGGCTTTCTAAAAACCAAATCGGCTATTAGGAAAACTCAAAGACGTTCTTTTTCATTGGTCTCTTCTACTGGTGGCCACTGAGCACCAATCTTCTTAGGGACAATTAATGTCATTACACAAGTAAAGCATTGGATGTGCTTTTATTCTCTTTTAGTCTTTAACATATTTAAGAAAATAAAGATCATTTTTATGGGACAGGGATTTCCTCTGAAATAATACAACCATAAAATGATACTAAAAAAACAGTAAGTATAGCAGCTAACATTTTTTGAGCACTTACTATGAGCCAGCCACTGTTCTACGGTCTGTTACATGTATTATATCATTAATTTCACAAGAACCTATAAAGCAAGTGTTGCCTTAGATCCATTTCATAGAAGAGGCTCTGAGGCACAGAAAGGTATGGCAGCAATCACTATACTGAGTCCCATCTAAACAAGGGACATTGAGTAAGGGACGGAGAGCGATCATTTACTTTCTTGGATGAAGACTGTAACAAAGCAGAAGGAAAACGAGTTTCCTTGTCAAAATATCTTTAGGCATGTCGATACACACTAAAGCTGTAAGAAAATACACTTGATTATAATAACAATCATTACATCAAATAATTTGATTAAAAACATCTAACAATATCCATGGTATTTAGCACCTGTTCTCTAGACACTATACCAATGTCTCAATACATTTAAGGAAATACAATATAAGATGGTCCATAACCGAGTGAAGCTTTTCCCCAATGCTAGGAACCACTTAGGTCAGCCCTGGTGGGCTAGTGGTTAAGATTAGGCGCTCTTACCACTGCAGCCCGGGTTCAGGGACCCACACCACCTGACTGCCGGATGTCCTACTGTGGAGGCTGCGTGTTGCTGTGATGCTGAAAGCTATGCCACTGGTATTCCAAATACCAGCAGGGTCACCCATGGTGGACAGGTTTCAGCAGAGCTCCCAGATTAAGACTAGGAAGAAGGACCTGGCCACCCACTTATGAAAAAATTGGTCGTGAAAACGCTGTGAAGAGCAGCGGATCACTGTCTGATACAGTGCCGGAAGGAGAGAGGACGGCACAGAAAGACCGGGCAGGCTGCCCTCTGCTGTCCACAGGTCACAAGGAGTCAGAATCCACTTGATGGCACTAACAACAACAAGGAACCATTTGGAGCAATTCAAAACTGAACTTAGCAGTAACAGTTTGAAAGTGAGCTATTAATAAGGCAAATTACACCTTCTGATAAAGAGGTAGATATGAAACAGCAATCTTATCGGAAGGTAGATTTTACTTAGGTTTAAACTACTTTTAAAGGGAGCTAAATTTACCCTAGTGGGATGGTTACTCAGCTTCTAGTAAATTTTTTATTTATCTTGACAAGGATTCGTAACAGCGGTCTAACTATTTTTGTCCATCCCCAAGAAGAGCTAAAATTCCACTGAGGTTTTAAATGGCTCCAAATATGCTGCTTGTTTAAGTAACGTCAATGCTTTTTAAAAATTTTAATCGAATCCTCATCATTTCTCTGTAAAAAGCAACTTAGGCCCATCTTACCTGACACCCAAGGACTCTGAGAAAGAGCTAGAGGTCAGGAAGAAACAGGTAGGTAGTGACTGCTGTGTGCATTCTCATGCAGCTCAACCAGCCTCCTTTCTCCCATCCTTCTCATAATACAGGTGAAAAAAAGCATCATTTTTAAGAACACATAACTATGCTCCCACCACAACCCCCCAAATGATTAAGTGGACTAAATGCAGAAGTACCATAAGTTACACACTGGAGATATGCCTAGAAAGTGATCCAAAATACAAAGAATGTGGTTCAAAGCATTCCAATTTGTTCTACTTTGAAAGTTTTTGGTTTTTCTTAGAGCAGGATGCACTGGTAGGTGGACTACTTCCCTTGAGGATCAGAAGAGAACCTCACTCACTGGTTGTGCTGGGATCTAGGATAACTAACACACGGAAAGTGCTGAGAAGTGTTCTGGCAAATAGTAAGTGCTCCATGAGTGTGAGCCGCTATTATTATCATCATCAACATCATCAAAAGAGCGCGATCTTTTTAGAAAAACTGGAAAATACATAAAGTATATAGAAATTAGAAAAAGAAGTTACAATCTCACCTCCCTCTTTTTATTTTAATGTATTTGTATAGACTCATGGGTTTCAGTATCTATACCAAGTTTTGTGTGATTCCACCACTGTTTTGTTAAACAATCACATCATCTAAAAGTCAAAGAAAATTGGGTTACAGGGCATAAACATTTATACATCAAGAATTAAATTGAAGGTATCCATACACTGACTGTTATTTGTAATGTACCCACTGTCTGCTGCAGACCTTATCAAGTATACACTAAAAACAATCTGTGCAGGGCACTGTAGGAGAAACCTAAGAAACCCCAGGGCTTTGGAGACACAACCTCAGAGAAATAAATCTAGTAATAACACAGGACAGTAGAGCTAACAGGAGTGCAGAATATGGTGGTAACTGTAAGAGGGATGAGTGCTCCGAGAACGTCACTTCAAGGATAAAGGCCTGCGCCCTCTAAGTGACTGGAAAGTCATTAGCTTTACTTTCTGCTTTAAGGCATACTTCTAATGAGCCTAAGACATTTCGAGTTGTTGTTTGATCAATGATAACAGTAAAATACAACAGATGAAAAGTATTCATAAACCTGTATAAGAGAGAGAGAGAGAGAGCCCTGCACTCAGCCGAGAACACAGGGAAATGCATGCAGGAAGAACATCCCACAATCCTCCCGACACTCATCCCCAGCCAGAGGAAGTGATGGAGCGCAGAGGACTCCATGGCTGGATCTGGACGAACCTGTTGGAAGGGTCGCGTCTGGGCTTGCCTGAGGAGACGCTGCTGCTGCTGCTGCTGCTGCTGCTGCAGAAGCCTCATCTGTATCAACTGCTGCTGCGAGGTGATGGCGTGGAGGGAGGGCGGCTGCATCATGGCACCCGAGCGCCGCTGGAGCATGTTCGACAGAGCCTGCTTGGTGTTCGTTGGGACAAAGGAGCCTGCGGGGTCCAGTCGGGAGCCACCTACAAAAGCGACCAGCAGGAAGGGGTTTCTACGCTCATTAATGCAACAGGTCTTCCTTATGTTATCAAAATGCAGAAACCTCAATTTCTAAGCCTCACTTCATGAAACAAAATGGAAAATAAGGCACTGCCCCCCACCCCTATACAAATATGAAAGATCTGTTAAGAACTGGCTAATTCCCAAAGGACGGAGAGGGTGACGTAGGAGGGAAGTATCACATCTGAGTGACTTTCACGGAGGGCCCCTTGCAGTTGGTAACAGGCAACACCTAAAACACAGAGTCGTCGGCATAACTTTGGAATCAGGTGGACTTCACATTATGCAAGGCCCTCAGGAACATACTGCTTGCATAAAATGTGTTGCCACCATGGTGTATTTTACCAAGTGTCCTAAGCCAGGCATAGAAACTCTGGTCATTTTAAACAGATTTGGAGATCATGATATTTAAGCTGCTTTACCATGGCAAAATGAAAATGCCTATTTTGTAGTAGAGAGGCATGAAAATACTTTAAAAACCTGAAATGCTAGGAAACTTCAAACACGATTATTCTAAAGACAAAATACATCTTATTTGAAGGCTAGAAATTAAATAAGAAACGTTGATTTTAGTGATACTTAAGAAACCAAAGGAAATCCTTAACATATTTACATGTATAATTTGTCAAATGCCTTTAAGAGTTAGGGGAAAAAAAATTTCAGCTTTTGCTGGCTTCAAAGTAGATGCTGATCCGTCATTCTGCAGATAGCCCGTATAGTCATGTGTCACTGAACAGCAGGGATGCGTTCTGAGAAATTCATCGTTAGGTAATTTTGTCATTGTGCCAACATCGTAGAGTGCACTTACACCAACCCAGATGGTATAGCCTACCACACACCTAGGCTATCTGGTACTAATCTTATGGGACCACCATCGTTTATGTGATCCATTATTGACCAAAGTGTCATTAGGTGGCACATGAGTGCATTAGCATTTCCATCTTACAGATGATCAAGCTGAGGCACGGAGAAATGAAGACTTGGTTGAGATTACAGAGTAAGAGAGTGGTAGAGCCAGACTTGACCCAGGAGCCTCACTCCCAGAGCAGCTTCTTAACCACTAATTTAACTTAGAGGACAAAATCTGAACTCCTCCCTGCTGTAAGCCACGAATCAAATATTTTCTTCCCCAGACCTCAAAATGTCATACTCAACTTACAGTAAAAATCAGAAAATAACAGAATACAATAAGTAAAAATATTATGTTATAATGGCACATCCTAACAAAATGCTGAGATCTCAAATAACCTCTTTTGCTAAAACAGGAAAACTTTCATTTAGAAAGAAAATTAAATTCCTTCTAATTAAGAGATTTTTTAATTTAGAAAATCTTCATTTCAGGTATAAAATCTACTTGAATTTGAATCAAAGCAATACTAAAATCAGGAACCTTTACTATGGATGTGGTAGTTTTCCTTGTCAATATTTCTGAAGCCTTCCATGGTAAAAACAATTCAAAATTCATAACAAAAAACAGTAAGAGACACTGTGCAATACTGTCTAATCTTTTAAAATGCTGACAAAAATTATAATTGTTAAAAATGTATACAAATTTCACAGCATAAAACTGTGATCAAGTTTACATCTTATAGCTTAGATTTTAATCAGTGGCTAATCTCCTTCTAACATTGGATGAAAACTCCAAAATCAGCACATAAACTCATAAATGAAACCTTATTTTAGAAGAAAAACCATTTTGAAAGGAGAGAATTACAGAAATGTCAGCCGAGCACTCACTTCTTGAAATTTCCAAGTTTTGTGGAGATTTCAGGTGAAAAGCAAAAAGAACCCCAACCTACTTCTCACCTCCGAGTGACCTGATGCTGCTCTCTTCACATACCTGGAGTAAGAGATTGGTTCTGAAGGAAAAAGCCGGGTTGCTGGGGCTGCCCCATGAGGTTGTAGCCCCAAAGGGCGGACTGTGGATGGTGCATCATCTGGGAGGAAACGGGTGAGTAATTAGGAGGCGCCCTGTACATGCTGCTCTGTGGATACTCCTTCAACATAAAGTTAAAAGAAACAGTTACTTGACGCCACACGCCACACACATACTCAATGCAAAGGCTGCCTATTGCGTGATTTGACATAGCTCCTACCCCAGTGGACAAGGCTATTTTCATAAAAGGGAAGACGGAAGACAAGAGCGTCAACACATTCTCTGCAAAACACTCGTTTAAGTGAAAATTTTCCTTGACTTAAAAAGTTCTTGGCTACAGTGGGGGGAGAGATGGAAAAGGGTCTTTTCTGAACTCTATTTCTAAAATACTAAGAGCGCATTTAGAATACCACTATCCACCACCACCCACAGCTGGAAGAGCATCCTCAGTGGCTAAGTCTCCTGATCATCTCATCTTAGAAGGCCTTCCTGAAACCTTGGGTCGGGATAGGAATCATGCCAGAGAGGCCCACGATACCTCAGAACCAGTCCCTGGCCCAGACAGTATCTGAGTTCTGATTTTCCAGCCAGCACTCTATAGAGTAGACTCCTCCCTCATCTCCTGTCCCCTCCTCCCCGACCCCCCCACCCCCCGCCAGGGTTCCCTCTTCCTCACAGCACCTCAAAGTCTCTAAGGATCACACCTGAATGTCTCCCCTGCCCCACGACCCCTTTCTCTAGTCTAGCCCTAAAGGCAGAAGGACAAATGCAAGCTCGGTTCCCTGAAGCACCTCCCATTGGGAGGAGGCGGCTTCAGGAGGAGCACGAAAGGAATGGATATGAGGAGACTCACTTGGGGACGGAGATGAGCTTTAAGGCTTTTCCATCTAAAAAGAACAGAAACCCATCCATGTGGACTGACAGGTGAGGAGACCCCCGATTTCAGGGAGGAGCACTGTGGACCTTACTGAGCGCCCCCTTCAAAACAAAGGAAGATTGGCAGGAAGACCACAGGAGAAGAGGGCCCTGGAGTTCAAGAGCCATCCAAAAGTGACGGCGGCCACTTCCACAATAAGAGTCATCACCGAGCTATCAACTAGGAAAAGGTCTGTTTTCATTTTGACACAGGTGAACAATAACAGTAATCAGACACGATGTCCGAGTACCAAATTGTGAATCTTTCTTCTACTGTGCAACAATAACATCCTTGAATTTTATAGATAAAGGGTCTCAAATTTTCTCATTCTCTAAGTGTATAAAATTATTTCTAAATTACCATCTCACAGCTTTCTGTTGATTTTAAGAAAAAGCTGCTACAGGTGGGGTCAACTAATAGGTAAATGAGAAGTGAAACTATTTTAAATTATGTTTATCTTTTCTAAAGTTTGAAAATATGGTAAAGAAGTAGAATATACAGGAGACTAAAATGGAGCAGTAAAATACGAAATCTCTGAAACATCTTATCAGAGATACTGGATGAGCTTTATCTAGGGAAAGGCAAATAGAGTTTTTTATGTTAATTGATGCCCAAAATACAATAAATATTTTAGACACGCCTATAATAAAAATAGGTAAGAGGATGAGATTTTATAGGCCTAAAAAAGCCCAGGTTTCAAATTTGAGAAATTATGAAGCACTGAAATATTAAGTAAATATTATACACAAGGGAAGCCTGAAATTAAGCAAAGTTATGAGAAGTAGAGGAGGAAAAATGAAGGCTATACTCCTGTCGCCTGTGACAAGCCGCTGTTCCCGCCCATTCTCTTGACTGCCGCAGGGCCTTGTCAGGATAACTGGCACAGAAAGCCTTCTACGGCTCTGAGCTCTGTTCCCAGGGGTACAACCTGGGCCCGAGCAGCCCTCCTACCAGAGGCCAGCGAGCCAAGGTCTTTCTGCTCCCCTACATACGTCAGCTCTGGAGCTGGACTTGGTCTTGCGCTTCCTTCCCTTGGTTTTCTTCTCTTCATCTGCCGTGGTCTTCCCCTGATCCGACAGCTCGGCCGATTTCCTCTCCGGTTCCTGAGAGACGGGAGACGAGGGCTCCTCCTCCTCCTCCTCGGGGGGCAGGGGCAGCGGCTCGAGGTAGTAGCTGCGCGGCTTGGGCGTGGGGTGAGTGTGATACAAAAGGAGGTGGTGCTGCTCCTCATACTTGATCACCTTTCGGTCCACTCGGACCGTCCCGAACCAGGCCCAGGACAGGGGCGCGGGGTTCTTCTGGCCCTCGAGCAAGTCCCACGGGGACACCTTCTGCTTCGTGGAGACCTGGAGGCCCTGTGGCGAAATAACGCCCTGTGACCACACGTTCAGGTCTTTTCCTGATTCAGACACGGACTCAGAGCACATTCTGGCTGGGGTGGGCCCTACAGAGCCCCAGACCCACAGGCTACCCGGTCAGTCAGGGTCACACCCTAGGTCAATGGGGAGCAGCGGCCTGGATTCACAGCTTTCAGTTCAGTCTACCACGCGACACTCTGGTCAGGCTGTAAGCCCAGACATTCCAGTATCTTGTACCGTAAAATGGCATTTTTTCATTTAGTTTTTTTTTTAGCCAAAAAAACTTCTAAAAAACACTGCAAAGTTGATCTTGCTGTGTACCAAATTATAATCAATTATAAAAGCTTTGGAATCTATTTACAGTTTTTAAGATAAAACAAAAGAGTCAAGTTACATTCAGCCTCTAAATGGGCTCAAATTAAGTTCAACCCAAACAAGTCCGGACTTGATTCAGTATGGCACCTTTCCTGTACTTACTAAGCCAGCCTCTGAATAGTTAAGTAATGTTATTACAGAATTAACTTGTACCGACAGGAACAAATAAATCCTTCAATTCAAGTTTCTCTCTACTGAGTTTAGAAGAAGGAATGCTATTCTGTTTCTGAAAATGAAAGTTTTTCTATTTTTAACACTAATTAGTGATGTCCCTTGGTACTTTCCAAGGCACATCAATTTGAAAGTACTTTTCTTCAAAATGCCTCCAAAAATAATGACTCAGGGCTTCCCTAAGAGAGGAGCTCCTCCTGTTCTCGCCGACACAGACTCTCCCACTGTCAAGGCTCAGTCACCACCTGCATGTTGACTGGGTCCTAATATCTGCCTTGAGAGTAGACCTCTTTCCTGGGTGCCAGGACCACACACCCAGATGGCTTCTAGATGTCTCACCACTAGAGAGCCCACCGGTACTGCAAACTCAACGTGCCCCTGACTCTAGCTTTTTCTGTCTCCACACCATACTGGCAGAAGTACTCGGGTACTCTGATTTACTGCAGCATTGCATTTCTCCTACAAGCCCAGTTCTTTCATGTCTTTGCATAACCTCTTCCCTTTACCTGGAACACACTCGCCCTACCTCTGGGCCACCTCTCAATCCTTCAAAAGGATTCAAGTGTTAGTTTTCTAGGGACACTTCTCTGCCCCCTGACCACCTACGCCTCATTGGAGTGTGATGGCTCCTTCTTAGGTTCCCTAACACTCGGGACCACAACACAGATCTCACCATGTGGTAACTGTCTATCTTCTTCCACTTAGGCTAGGAGCCCTGTCTCTCACCTCCGCGATTTTGGAAATCTGTGGTTGCCCAATGTTCACTGAAAGACTAACTGATCGCTCTTCTCATATTTTAGAGAACCTTGTTTAATATCTTATATAAATCAAGTGTTTATTAAATATTTAGCTGATAAGAAAATAAAGTACCATCACTTTCAAAATCTTTTTTATTCAAAACAGCTTACCACATGAAACCTTTTATCAACAAATACTTTCTTATCTAAACATATTCTGTTTCTAATTCTGAAGTAAAATCAGACTAGTCTTTGCTATTTTTCTTTTTTTTTTACACTAAGCTCTTACTTAGCTTTCCCTTGGTGGACTTCAGAAATTCACTAAAATTCAGGTACAGTTTTAAATGAAAATCTTCAAAGATCTGACATATTTATATGATAATGCCAAGGACCATTGCATTTAAATGACAAAACTATACTTTAAAAAAGTCAAGAAACTGTTAAATTAAGATGCTTTCTATGCCCCACAGGAAGACAAGAAAGTGTATTTGTTTTTGTAAGTTTGTGCATTTATACATGCGACCAGCAAACATCTCCTCTTGCCTGCTTTTTATCTATGGAGTCGAATCCAGCGATCTTGTTTCCCTTCGTGTCGATCAAGGAGCCCATGGGCTCACACGTGATGATGTCACACGTCTGCTTGGGCAAAGGCAGCAGCTGGCGAACCTTGTCGATACTTTCTGATCGCTTGTCTCCTAGCTCTTTCTAACGAAAAGAAGAGAGAAGTGGGACACGAGTCACAAAGCAGGCAAAAGTTAACAAGAAGGAAGTTCCCCCATGAAACATCTCCTTTTTTATAGCTGGAATGTTCTTCAACCCTGAACGTGGTCTGTGGGGCAGCTCTCAATTACAGCAGGGAATGTTTCATTTCTTCTATTTAAGTCAGAAACAGAACACATATAAAGGCACCCTTGTTACACAACAGACGCCGCGGTGCTGAAATGACAAAAATCCAAGGTGGAACCAGACGGCAGAGGCTGCAGCACAGAGCCCGTTCTCGAACCCAGAGTCAGACCACAAGGTAATCATTGATTATTTTATTGGTAAGGCCTTCAGATATCTTGATTGGTTTTTCCTGTGTCATTTGTTTACAGTTTATTTCAAAGACTGTATTAGTAGCTAGTTACATGAATCGAATTTAGAAATATCAATGCAAACGGATATTTTTCAACTGCACGTGCCAGTCCAAGCACGATTTATCCCAAATCTGATGTCGGCATTCAGTTATATATTTGATAATGGATTTCTAAAGTTCCTTAAAAACTTAAACATGTTTTGTGGATATAAATTTTTTTCAAAGGAAAAGTCTTTAAGCTATATGTTTATAACTTTTGGGTAGTGGTAAACTGAGGTCAAGCAAAAAGCAAAATAATCACATTAAAGTAACTTCAATGCAATAATAATTAATTTAATGCATAGTAAACTAAGATAAAATGTACTAAATAACAAACCCATAAACACTCTGGCTCCTAAGATAAGCAGTTTACAAACTCACCTTCAGTTTCTTTACCAGATTCATGTACGCACGCTTGTTCTCTTCAGACCCCCCGGGGGATGCATTTGACAGGTCAGAGGCTAAGGTTCCATTGATTAAAACACCCAACATATCGAGAACTGTTGTGAACAATTCACTAAGAGGGGAAAGAAAATAATTATTTTCACCTTAGAGCAAAACTAAGAAACTCCTAACTGAGCATTTTTATGGAAGGCATAGAATTTTTAATGGTACCTAAGAAAATAAGACGTGGCAGAGTTTGTAGTCAGTATAACAAAGCTTCTACTACGCACACGTGCAGCAAAGTAAAAGGGAACTGATGGGAACATACTTGTTAGTGTGCATGTCGACGGTCCCGGATGTAATGATCTGGAGGAGGAGGAGGGCCCAGTCTGTGGTCCACTGCGTGCTCCTCTGCACCGTGTCAAACATCCCTCCCACCTAGCACACAGACAACACAGTCAGAACCTGCATCCTGCATCGTGTACAGGGAGAACACCACCCATCACCTTAGGGAGCCAAATTTTGATTAGCGTAAAAAAAAAAGGTGCTCTAGTTTATGGATATCTTGTCTTCTCTCTCACCAAGCTCTATATTTGTCACTCTTTTTGTTTTCTTCAGCACAAGAACTGGTCATTCAAAAGAAAAATAACAGAGTCCCCAAGTGTGGGCACATCATCAATATGAATTATATACCAGTACAAGCAGCTTTCTGTGGTTCCTAAACTTTCATGATATCCAGTTTTATGACGTAATTTTAGTCTAATTACATCTGAATAGGTCAAAACCACATAGTCCAATTATCTACAGCTTTGTATTGTCAATTCCTATTGAATCTAAACCTGTTGTCATGTTAACACTTGGAAATATCCAGTAACACAGAAGGAATGAGGAACAGCAGGCGTGCGCGCAGGTCTCCTCGATCACGGGCGGGAATTAATTTAAAATCATCAGCTAAAGCTCGGGGGGCCATCCTCCAGAGGAGCCCTCAGTGGGGCTTCTCCGTGGAAAAGGAAAAGTCAAAGGAATGTGAACGTGCGAGGAACTCTGAATTTCTGTAAAACCTCCATGTGGGATTTACGATCGATGTGATGGAAAGTTTGATAATTTTTGACTTAACGGATGTTTTAATATGGTTCTTAAATAAGCACAGTAAAAGCTACCAAGCATCTCAAAAAACAGGAGTCCTTTAGGACCTCCTCTTAGCCCGAACCGAAGAGGAGGAGAGATTCCCCGGGGCGGGGAGCACAGAGGGGAAAGCGATGGCTAAAATGCCTACGGCTGGCCGGAAGGGCAGCAGCCAGCAAGACAGGACGTTCCAGAGACGGGGCAGCAGTGACCGAGGGCAAATAGCAGGAGGCCTCACCTTGTGATGGAGGCCAGGACCACAGGAGAGGTGGGAGCTGAGTCACTTTCACGAAAAGCGTAAGGGAGGAAAGGCACCAGGATGGCTCTTACCAGATTGAGACGGAGCTGCAGGGCCTCGTGCATCATCTGCCGGGCCTTGGTGTCGTCCTGGTACCGTTCTTCTCTCCAGTTACTTAAAATCTAAATCAGAAAATACATGGAGAAACCAAAACCTTGTTTTTCTGTTAAAACTGACTTTTTCTCATATTCAAATTGAGCTATTCACTGACAGTCAAAAACAAATTTTTTTTTTTTTGAGGAAGATTAGCCCTGAGCTAACATCTGCTGCCAATCCTCCTATTTTTGCTGAGGAAGACTGGCCCTGAGCTAACATCCGTGCCTATCTTCCTCTACTTTATATGTGGGATGCCTGCCACAGCATGGCTTGCCAAGCGGTGCCATGTCCGCACCCGGGGTCCGAACCAGTGAACCCCAGGCTGCCAAAGCAGAACGTGTGAACTTCACCACTGAGCCACCGGGCCAGCCCCAAAAACAACTTCTTAGTTTAACAAATTAACAAACAAAGCTAAAATAAAACTGTAGCTTTTCTCTCCTTCCTCTGGCCAACAGAAATCTGGCTATTTCTTTGTTCGTTGCCTTTCTAGGTGGGAGAAGAAAAATCTTATTTAATTATATATCCTGCGAATAAGTCTTAGAAAATGCTTCAGAGGACCACCAAGTTAAGCTTAACAGAAAGAAAGACTATTTTCTAAACATATTATTTCACTGGTCTCATGAGAATTGGATAGACAGAATTACATTTTACATCAGTCCTGTGTTACATTTCTAGGGACATGCTATGAGCCCTAGCAAATGTACTATTTTGATGTTTATTGAAAGGGTGCTTGCTATCTCACAGACTTATCTTCCTTGACAAGTATGCTATTTTGAAAAATATGGCATCTTGGACATCCGTCAAGTGGCGTATCAATTTATAAAGTGAGCACTTCCTCACCCATTCAGACTAGTGTTGGGGAAGGGAAGGTTTGCTCAGGAAAAGCAAACCACAGATTCTGGGCAGCATGATGATACGAGCGGAAAAAAAACCAACACACTGGGCCCAGCCTGGTGGTCAAGTGGTTAAAGTTCTGCAGGCTCCGCCTCGGCGGCCCAGGATCGCAGGTTTGGATCCCGGGCACAGACCTGTCCTGCGCCCAACCACGCTGTGAAGGTGTCCCACATACGAAAAAACAGAGGAGGATTGGGACGGACGTTAGCTCAGGGTGAATGTTCCTCAGGAAAAAAAAAACAAGAACAAAGAAAAAAACAACACACTGCCATGCTCTGAAACATGATGACTAAGGAGAATCATCTTAAAAGAAGTGAAATGAGTCACATGCAGAAGTAACCCAGCCAACAGATGACCTGTGAGCACAGTGCATGGGGAGGGGAGAGCACTTCCCAAATCTCTTGGAAAGATACGGCCCCCTCCCATGGCTGAATGAGGGGCGCGAGGCAGTTAACGAAACCCATGAGCTCTCACGGAGCTTCCATTCCAGTAGCAGAACGAATAAAAACAAGTGTACCAAATGCTATGAACCAGGGCAAGGGGACAGAGAACGAGCGTGGTCCTCACTTAGACAGTGCTCAGGGAGGGCCTCCCTAAGGAGGTGACACCTGAGTGGAGACCTGAAGCAGTGAGGGAGCGGCCAGGCTGATGCGTGGTAGGAGAGCCTTCCAGGGAAGGGGAGAAAGATGGAAAGGCGCTGCGACAGGGAGTTCAAGGAACAGCATCGTGACGGCTGCGGAAAGAGAGGAGTGAGCAAGCCGGGACCAAGAGGAAGCAAGGCAGGAGTGGGAGCCAGTGCCCAACCACGCAGGGCCTTACCAGCCCAGACTCTGGATTTTTATTGTAGGTGCAGTGACAAACACTGAAGCATTTTGGGCACTGGACAAATACGTGATTTATATTTAAAAAGGCTCACTCTGGCTGCTGTGAGAACAGACTCCCTATCCAAATGGCAGATGATGACGAGAGGGCCAACAAGTGAAGTGTCCCTGCCATGTTCCTCCAGGACCATTCGAGGGAAAGACGTGGCATCATGAGCCACAGCACCACACGAGGGCTCCCAAGGCTCTGTGGCAGGATGAAACCCCCGCAGGGCCAACCCACCCACTCTGCTCGACGCCGCGCTCTCCCGTTTCTAATTCGGTCACTGGGTTTCCTCATGGTGCACAGAACCCAAGTGCCCCAAAGAGGGACCAGGAGAGCTGTGGGTGGTGGAAAGGCAAAGTCCAAATTCTCTGTAAAGGAACCAAAATGCCTTCTGATTTGTAAACGAGCATCGTGTGCATTTGACTGGCATCAGTCTGGCTCTGGTAGTAAAATAAGTGAGTTCTGAACCTACAGAGCTCAAGCTGGGACCCTGCCTGACACGTGCAGGCCCAGTCGAGGACCTCACTGCCTCACCTACTGCAACCCAGATTGTCCAGGACCTCGCCCACGAGGCAGGGTCAGGAGAGCAGCAGACATGTCAAAGTGGACGTGCAGCATGCAAGGCATGACTTTTCTAGTCTATAGACACTTATCCAAAGCATAATCAATACTATAAAATTGATAATCTTGGGGTGACTAGAATGCCTGCCAGGAGAACAGGGCATGGATGGTGTGTCCTGCTTCTACTCAAAACATGTTGTGCCCATATTAGTTTAACCTCAGTAGGTGAAAGGAAAACAAATTAAGACCATTAGGAAAGTACTTGCCTGGCTTAATATTCTGCTATGCTTTACCTGATTAACTTGATTCTGGAGAGAGGTCAGGAGGCCTTCTCGCTGTTCATCTTGTCCCTTAAGGCAGGTAAGGACCAGTGAGAGGAATGGTTGTTGACTCAAAAGAGACATACTACAAAGGAAGTAATAACAGCAGATCGAGTTAGAAAGAATGGATTACTTCCTGTGCAGCATCAACTTCTTGCCCTCCAGTTGCTGGCGCTTCTTTATTTTACTGTTAGAAAAGGGAGGGCAGAAGTAAACAGCCAAAGACCACAGGAAAAGTTAAATTGCATCTCCACTAACAAGATTAAAAGCCACTGTCGTGTGTCTAAATAATTTAATACACCTTCCTGCCCTTGAAGGCATTCCCAAAACAGCATAAATCCGTCCTGCCTATGAGTGTGCAGGGGGCACAGGGAGAAGAGAACTTGTATTTCACGCCAAAGCCAAATTTTTAAAAACACACATCGAAGGAGTATCACTTTCTACACAGAACAAAATGAAAAATTGAGAAATTTCTCTCCCATGAAACTCTCATTTTAGGGTCCAGGAAGCTGGCCTATTCAATTGTTGAGCCTGTTTTATTCTTCAGCACATCTCTCAAGACCACACAGTTGGGCATGGTACAGCTAAGATTAGCACCTGGGTCCAAGGACTCCCAAACCAGTGCGCCTGCTAGCCCTCAGGTGCACAGCCCCACGGCCCACAGCCTCCACCTGTAAAGGGGTTTCAGGACATCTGGTAAAAATCCTACTATAAATTGGCATCTTATTAATATTTCTTCAATTATCAGAGAACAACTGATAAATGGTATTGACAAACTCATTGCTACATTGGAAAATGGAATACAATCGTTCTTAAAGTGAGATGGAGGACAAAATATTTCAGTCTGCTTCACCTTACGGCAGCAGAACTGACTGAGCCTGACTTGGGAAGCACCTTCTTCAGACTCATAATACCACCTGTTCTCCCTGTGGGAAGCGAGGCAACGTGCCTACACTCGCCCATGAGCAAAGAAACGTTGAGAATGAAAACTGAGTTATCCGGTTGGTTAATTAACACTGGCAAAGATGAGGAAACAACTATGTAACAAACAAAATATGTGTAAAGCTAGGTCTCTACTAAAATGTACGTTAGTGAGGGACACGGGGTCAGAAGTCAGACCAACTGGGTTGAAACCCCAGCCTGGAACGCCTAAGCTGTGTGTCCGTAAGAAATTTACTTAACCATTTGGGCCTCAGTTTCTTCATCTGTCACAAGGGTATGCTAAGGAGAGCACCTACCACACACGATTGTGGTGAGATTTTAAAAGCTCAGTATGTGAAATGAGTTTTATATCGGGAATGGCATTTCCTAAGAACTCAATAAATGGCAGCTGCCAAAATACTATTAATTTGGGGACAAGAAATCTACATGTTCAGAATTTTTTAAAAATGGAATCATTATTACTCTTTACTCCTGGGGTGCTAAATTCATCATGTTTTCTCATTTGAGTATAGTTTTGTTCTTTCTCAAAGTTTTCAAAAATAATTATTTGAAATCTTTTCTACGGCATAAAACAAATTAAGAAAATATTAAAGTTGGCGGCTTTCTACGTTTTACTATCTAGTCTAGAACAAGAGCCCTAAACACTAGAAATATTAGTGACTACTTCAGGGTCCAATATGATAGAATTATAAATAATTCTATGTATTTTAAACATAAATACCTAAGTAATAAAAAAATGGAAAGTCATTAAAAGTAGACTACAAGGACCAAGTGGATATCCAGATCTGATTCAGCAGGCGTGAAGTGGGGCTAGGAAGTCGGTGTTTTTACCGGTTCAGTAGCAGTGTGGGTATATGGGCAGAACTGAGAACCAGGGTACTAAATATCATAACCTGGAGCTTTTTAGGAACAGAGTCTTGCCTAAGAGAATACTTTCAATTCCATCTTAAACCAACATTTCCATGGACTCTGGGTACAGTGACCGTGTACCTATGCAGGCTACTAGATTTTCTCAGTTGTGCTTTAAACACCTACGGAAAGAGCCACACCTTTCAGCCGTACCTTTTCTGTTTCTGTCTGTCTCTTTCCTTCTTTGAAGAAGACCCCAAGTGCTGTCCCTTCTCGAGCTCCTCCCCAGCAGCTTTCAACACTCTGCCCTGCACAGAGGTCGGCAGCCTGGCAATGAGGGGGGCCACCAGCCACACGCCCCTGCGTTCAGAGGAACTAAAATCAGAAACAGGTGTTACACCCAAGGAGGCATCCTTTCTCTCTGCTCGCCCAGTCATAACAGAAAGTCCACCGCAAAACTTGTAGGCACGAGACATACCGATTACTCTAAAATTCCCTCTTATTCCGCTACTATCTTTCCTCTTGCCAAATATCAGACATTTGCACACACTTTTCCATTCATGCTTATGGACAGCAAGGAAAGGTGGAGTTCTGGGAGGATACCGTAACTAAACTTTTAAAAAATCTATAAAAGCGTTTTTCCATGATTCCGGCTCTCTGACAAGTAGCAGTCCTTTTGTCCAACAAACAATACGCTTTTCTGCCATGGTTAAGATGTGACATGTTGCGATTATGTTTCAGCATACTAATAACTGATATTTAAATTCTTACAGTTCACTAGCTATACTTTACCAAAATGCATACCAAAATGATGGAACGCAAGTCAATCTGCCTTTCACGACTATCATTTGTTCAAAACTGCCAATTAATAAAGATGGCAGAAAAAGTGTTCCCTATACAATGAAAACCACAGATCAGAGTAGCCTCGGGGCTGCTGAAGAAATTAGCCCATCCTGAGTGTCCTCTGTGGTTCCAGGGAGACTGGACCTAATTGACTTAATATCTAGAACACTGAGATACCATCGGCCCAGCAGTATCACCCGATAGCACATCATTAAACAATGACAAGTGACACTTAGAAGTAACTGTTTTCTTCACATTTCTGCAGCTTTATCGGAAAACAACTCCATTTTGCAAATAAAATGGACTGTCACCTGTGGAAAATTAATGACAGCCTAATAAAACTACAGGACAAATACCTTAGAAAAGTCTTTATCCCATTCTGCCTTGTGCTACTTGCATCCGTACTTCCGACGCCGTTCGGGTTGAAGAGGCCCATCCCCGAACTGGAGGAGTTGTTGTTCAAGTCGGCAGACTGCTGGAACACCTCTATTGTTGCCTTCGCAATATTGTCCAATAAGTTGTTCATTTCGGCCACCGAACCAGAGCCCTAGAGTCAGACAGAGGGAGACTAGCACGCAGGTTTTACCTTCTCCTCGAATATCAACGTGGTCTTTCTTGCTTTTCATAAAATTTTATCCACATCCATGCTTTCAATCTATACTCACAGGGTCCTTCAAGCACTGTTTGATCATCAGCTGAAGTTCTAGCCAGGACTGCCTCAGTGTCCACTGCTCTAGATTCTGGGGAAAACGGCAAGAATTAGCACATTAGGAATCCTGAACATGTCTTAACATACAGTAATCCCTTGCAGTAGTCCCTGCCTCAAGAAAGAGTAGAATAAGCATATACAGTAAAGGGATTTATATGGATCACAAGGCTTCCACCAAGTCTATTACACATATTCACTGTAGACACAAAGAAATAAACAGCAACATTAAGATAATGTGCGTCACTCAGCCAGCACCGGAAATACCTAAGACAAGCGTTTCTTCTCTCAGAATCTATTTATGTAACCAATCTCATTCCAAAATGACTTTGACACTTTTTGAATATACAATATTTAAGACAGTCCCTCCACAAAACTTATTTTTCGTGTAAATACAGCAGTGACTTAAAATATCAACATTTATGTAATGATTGTATACAATTTTCAGGATCTATATCTACCTAGCAACAAAGTGTGGCAATTATACACGAAAGAGAATTGAGGAAATAAAAATCAGAATTAATTGAAGAACGAGCAATGAAAAAAAAAAGAGAGATCAGCTCTTGCCATAATCACAAAGTGTGTGTCAGACAACAGAAACACAACCTTTAGACTATCACACTCACCTGAAGGATGCGCTTAATGTGCTGTCTTTGCAAGTTGTCCCCCTCAGGACATTCTTTAATGCCATGAGGATAGCAGATAAGCTGTAGTAACTTCTGCGCTTGCATGTTGGAAAGCACAGGGTCCAGTATAAGCTCTTTGTCTGTGCATAATCTTTCAGGTTCTTTTAAGCAATGTTCTCCTACCCATTCCTAAAAATAATATAGCACTTAGACTGGCAGGCATAGGCTTTCTGTATGCATGTGTAATATGTACAACATTCATGGTGCACAGACAGGAAGATTCCAACTAAAAAAATACTACATAAAAAAGTAGGCGGCAAAAGTTTTCGAAACAAATTTCTAGTATTTTAACTTCTTAAAAATATAAAGTAGAACCTTGGTTAAAGAAAACTAAAGAAAAAAACAGACATGCAAAAAAGTAAAGGAAAGTGAAGAAAATATTGCTATGTGTTTTCCTTTGGAAAATGGAAGCTTGCTCCAAGAACTGCTTTGTAAGGATTTTTTCTTAACTTGCTATAAAATGGTAAAGATTCTATATCATATTATGTCTTCCATCATTTTTATGGAATGCTATAATTATACTATATCCCACTGAACAGAACATAGGATAACATTTAGAAAACTGCCTTCCTTGTTGATATCATTATGAATTGTTACTATTATAAGTAAATATTTGTGCACGTCTATTCTCTGTACAATTATTTTTTCAGGATAATTTCATACATGTGCAATTGCTGGGTCAAGGACCACAGCAAAAATTTAAAGCCAATTGATGTATGTGGCTAACTGCCCTCCAAGAGTTTCTACCAATTTAAACCCCTATCACCTTTTCTCCACCATTTTTTCAAAGGAAAACTCTTACACTAAATGGGGTAAGAAGTCATCAGCAGTACCAGAGCCCTATTTGAACCCAGATCTGCTTCAGATGAAACCTGCTTCTTTTTTTTTTTTGAGGAAGATTAGCCCTGAGCTAACTACTGCCAACCTTCCGCTTTTTGCTGAGGAAGTCTGGCCCTGAGCTAACATCCATGCCCATCTTCCTCTACTTTATATGTAGGATGACTACCACAGCATGGTTTTTTGCCAAGCAGTGCCATGTCCACACCCAGGATCCGAACCGGTGAACCCTGGGCCGCCGAGAAGTGGAATGTGCGAACTTAACCACTGCACCACCTGGCTGGCCCCGAAACCTGTTTCTTAACCACTGCACCAGTGGCTCAACGCTGGGTGTCCACTAAAAACACCTGGGAAGCTTGTTAAAAATCCAAAGCCCAGCCCCACATCAGATCAATTAAATCAATCTCAGGTGGTGGGCCCCAGACATCAGTAATTTTTTTCTTGGTATCAAAGATTTTTTAGGGGCCAGCCCCCAAGGCGTAGTGGTTAAGTTCAGCATGTTCTGCTTCAGCAGCCCGGGTTCACAGGTTTAGATTCTGCGAGTGAACCTAAACCACTCGTCAGCCACGCTGTGGCAGCAACCCACAGATAAAGTAGAGGAAGGCTGGCACAGGTGTGTGCTCAGGGTTAATCTTCCTCAGCAAAAAGCTTTTTAAAATTAAAAAAAATTTAATTCCCCAGGTGATTGGAACGTGCACCCACAGTTAGGCACCAATGCACAACTCAACACCCTCTCAACACCCGTATGGCTATTTAGCTAACTTTCACCACGGATACAACACGCCTTAATAAAAACATGATCCTGTCTACAGCAAAGTGAAAAAGAGTGTGTATGCTAGACCACACTTTTTTATATGAAAGCGAAATGAAAAAGAAAAACAACATGGAAAGATAAACCAGAAAACAACGAAACTGACCACCCAGAGCAGGGAGGGACAAAGGGCAGAAAGGACAAGGGAGAGAGGACACCATGCTGAGTACACCTTTTTGCACAGCTGACTTTTGAAGCATGTATTCTAAAGACAGAGCTGGGAACAAAAAGAAATCTAAACCAAGTGCAAACAGAAACAACTTTATTTCAAGTGAATAACATATCTACACTGAAGGAGAAAGTTCAAATAACTTTTTAACACAATACTGTAAACTCTCAGGGAAAAAAGAACTACGAACAAATCTTCAACCTCCTTCAGGAGGCTTGTTTCCCCAGTAGTGGACACGCAGCAATTCTGAAGCCACCACAGGTGTCTTGTAGAATTCAGCAGATGAGTAAATGGGTTGATGTCATTGGGAACCATGGTCCTCACTGGGCAAGAGGGCGATATTAATATGGAACGGGGGATGCAAAGCACTTTGTGGGGTCGGACTGGAATTGGAGACATCAGTATCAACTCGTGTCTATGCACACACACATTTACGTGTATGGATGCATTTTTTTTTTTCCCTAGCTCTGTTGCTGAAACGGCCTAGAAGCAATGAGCACACATTGCCCACAGCAATGAGCTCACACAGGGCCCCCATCTTGGATTCTAAATACCACCCTCTACTAAACAAACAGGGTTCCTGGAGGAATGAGTAATTCCAGGTCCAAGGCAGGGAAAGTACAAGACAGGCCAGAAAGTAAGAAAATACTTCAAAAAGTAATTAAATAAAAGATGGATATAAAATATAAATAACACAAGAACCAGCACACAAAGATTCCCACTGAAAAAATCTCGGACAATTTGAACGTGAAAATAACTAACCACAGTCTATTATGACCCATTTGGATAATAAATAAAGATGAATAAGTAAGGAAAAAGTAAATAAGGTACGCTCTCCTTAGAGTAGAATGCAAACTGATAATTGTGGAGGGAGTGGAGGAGTCTGGAAAAAAAAATCACCGTTTTGCAAGAATCATAGTAAAGACTGGTTTGGACAAGAATCAAAAGGATGCTTTATGGGAGACGGGGGTCTCGTGAGGAGCAGAATATTGGCATTGTCTCAAAGCGTCTCCCCAAAGACTGCTGATTAATTGCAAGGGGAAAAATGATAATTACACAGTAGAGAAATCTTGAAACCATACAATGGAGACACTTTGATCAAAATTAACATCACCAGTGAGGTGCAAATAGACATCAGCTTCCTTCAGCTGTGATTACCTGAGAAGAACACATTATTTCTGTAGTGTCTTGGCCAGGAATACATAATCTGAAGCTAATTTACGGGAAACTTCAGACAAATGCAACATTATTGGGATAATTGACAAAATTGGAATGTGGCCTATAAGTGAGAAAAAAATCACTGTACGAATGCTAAATTTCCTGATTTGTGTACTTTAGTTTTGTTAATAAATAAGTGCTAAAGTATTAAAAAGTAAAATAGAATAATGTATGCCATCTACTCTCAAGTGGTTCAGCAAAAAAACTTAAGTACACACATTCACACACATAAAGAGAATTATGAAGCACGTGTGGCAAAACGTAAAAAATTAGTGAATCTACATAAAGGATATACTACAGTTCTTTTTTATTACTGCAACTTTTCAGCAAATTTGAAATTATTTCAAAATAAGGTTAGCAGGGAAAAAAGGACCACCTATGTACAAGTTTCCTACAATAGTGACCCTCTCTCTAAAAGAACAGTTACATATTCAAAGCTGAAGGCAAATTAAGTCTAAAGAGTACCTGTTGACAGATAGTCCTCAGTACGTATCTAGCATATTCTCTTAAATTGGCAGTTTCTATGGAAATGCTTTTCCCACAAGACTTTGAATGTTGTGAGGCAGTCCAGATGTCATCAGCATTCCCATCACGTCGTAAACCCCTCATGGTGAAGTCGTCATTCTTTAAAGAGCTGACATTGTTATTGCCAATTTTGGCATCTCCTAAATAACAAAATCACAAAAGCAAAATCACAGAAGTTCAAAATATCGCCAAATATTTGAGTAGTAAATGAGGCAAGGCTTCAGGGATCTAAAACACATGAATGCTATCATTATTGCATAGCCAGTTGTTCAGCAGTAGAGAGATAGGATCAAAAGAATTCGAGAACGCAGAGCAGTTTCATCAGACATGGGGAAAGACAAGTTCAAGACTCATTCCTTATTTTGTTTACAGAATTAAGTACGCTTTCATCAAACTTGGAAAGGCCATTGTCAATCACACTTAATAATCACACAACACTGATTTCACCAATATTTCAAGCATAAATGTATTCAAATTCATTTGACTTATAGACAAGGAAAAAATGAGTTACTCACCCTTCTAGATGTCCCTTTGCCATTTCTTCTCTTACAATGACTTATTTTCTATCCATAGGTCAAGAGAAAAGTTTTGCCTTAGCCCACCTTACTATCAACTTCTTGACAAGAGAGATTTATTTCCCTGGGAATGGAAAAGGGCAGTGCATACTAAGGAAGCCCTGGAACACAGGGCAGTCAGAATAACCCATGACTTTCACTTTCCTCTCCGTAAACATCCAAAGTAGAAAACCTCACCTGACCAATCTCTAAGGGACTCTGTAAAATGAAGTTAAGGAAGGCGTTTTCCTCATCACAAAGTTCTAGGGGGAAAAACTGAGCAGAATGGTTGAATTGCTGGAAATAAGAAATCTTCTCTAGACGTGGAAGACAAGTAACTGTCATATTTTAACATGTTGTGGTAATAAAGATGGCCAAATGACAACAGAGCCTCCAAGCTTTGGCCTGTTACCCAGAGGATCATGAGGTTTGAACAAGAAAATCTCCTGGAAACACTAAGTGAGTTTAGATGAGGCCCTCACTGCCCCGCTGTGAGCGAAACCAAGCCCAGAGCAGGGCAAAAAGCCTTTTAAAACCCACAGGTTCAAGCAAGAAAAACCTTTGACTCTGCTACAAAAATTTGAAAAACTGGAATGGCTTAGGACATATTTACTTATAAAATCGTTAAGGGGGGAGGAATAAATATACATTTTAACTCATCAATATCTTGCTAAATATTAGCATACATTTCTCATTACAATACACATACGGAAAGTACTAACTTCACCCTGAGGAGTTTACTTAATTCAACAGAGCTCTTCAGGAGCTGAAAGAAAGACCAGATTCTACGTGTATCAAAATTTAGCATGCTTTCTCCAACCTGTGGGGACATGAACAACTATTTTTATACCTTAAGTTAAACTAGTATAGAAATTAGAAACCCAATTCTATAAAACAGTCCTATCTCCCTAACTTGAAACAGATCCTGGTGGATAGGACTTGAGAGAACACGGGTTTAGGAAGTAGAGAGGTAGATAAGTTAAAACTTCTGTAAAAACAAAAAGAAAGAACACTTCTGCCAATCCCAGACGAGGAGATCCGCATTCAGTTCAGATCTTAAGATGACACAGAAGGTCTTGGAGGCTATGCCAGAACCTTCTGCCACCGTATTGACAATAGAACAAATAGAGTGTTCAGTGACTGCCTGGTCCAGTTCAACTGGCCTGATCCTGACTTCTCAGACCCCAAGGACACTCCAATACTTAGGAAACTGCAGAATTTACCAAGAACTGAGGCCAAATAAAAAGGCCAAGAAGAGGTAATCAAAGAAAAATGAACTGGTAATTATGCACGGATATTAAAATACAGCTATTTGGATATTTAAAGAGGTTGGGAAATTTTCCTTGGGATTGGACCAGTCCTCCAAATCAAGGAGACAGAATCTAAATTGCACTCATCTTGGTTTCTGCCCTTAAAATGTCTACCACTTATGCAGTCACATTCCAACATTAGTTTTATTGAAAACTTACTATTTAGTTTCTCTGATAGGCTTTGGAGATACCACAGCAAAAAAGTGAGTCCCTGACTTCACTGTCTCTACATTTATTTATTAAATAGAATTGACCAGACATCTTTCCTTTCAAGCATCATCAGAGTAGAGCAATCTTACATACTGAAACAAGCATTTAACGTTGGCTCTGTAACACTCCAAGCTCATGAGCTCTGAGAAGAGGCTGGGGCCCTTCATGTGGCTCTATCTTTCTCCTTTTACTACAAAATCCATGGGCATGTCACAGTATATACATGTATGTGTCTGTGTGTGTGTGTATATATATAGATAGTTAAGGTTTTTTTTAACGTGAACTTTTAATTATGTGTTTTATGAAAACTCTGTTATCCTTCCTTGTCACCAAGTAACACTTGTCAAGTAGTAGTATAAAGGGACAGGGCGTATTCTCAAATATGTTCCATCAGACTCATCTAAAACGACCCCATCCACTCAGTAATTTCTCTTCTCATCAAAGGGAGCTCCTTTGGAACCCAATAGATAACTTTTGCTCGGTTAAGGCTAAACGAGGGTACCCAAAGTTGGAATGAGACAGTGTGAATTCAAGAGTTCGTAATCATTCAAATCCTAAACGATCTATAGAATAAAGACGTCTTCGGGTATTGCACCATAAATGAACAGAAAAGGCAGTACTACTACTCCAGGAGAACATATACCAATAAGGATATAAAAGACATCTCGGACATTATGAATTAAATGGAAAAAAACTGTGATATCTAATATTGATTTTTATCAGTAATATCAATATCATTGCAATTATCACCTGATTCGTGAAAAAACTAAGATGGAAGTATATAAACTCATTCAGGGTCACCACGGAAGCAGAAACACTAAGATTAAGACTCGGGTCTGCTGGTGTTCCACTCCTGGAATATAACAGGAGATTCAGACCTTTCGTCAGACCACCAAGTCATCCGTGTCCATCACGAAGTGTGAGTTGTGCCAATCAGTGAAGGCAAAACAACCCTGTGGGTTTAAGGATCTCTACTACAAGAGAATGAGACATCCTGAAGTTAAAATGCCACAAAAAAGGATTATATTTAAATTACCCCAGAATTGTAGGTAAGGGACAGACTCCTCAGAGTCTAACTGAACTTGGACTTGGAGAAAGCCAACTAATTTTTCCAGGAAAACAAAAAACATGTTTCTAATAATATTAACTAGAATTAAACCTGAACACAAATCATTTTGCCTCCGTTTCCGGTGATTAACGAAGCTTAGTGCCAGGATAGCCTTACCAAGCATCATAATTGCTTTTAAGACAGCAAACACAGCTCCCACTTCGATACTGTTGTGAGCAGCAGCCAAGAGGTGTCTATCACAAGATGATCTTATTCCGGGGAAAGGTTTCCCTATGAGAACAACAAACCTTTACTAGTCTCATCACCATCATTAACAGTCTTTTATAACCATTTACAGTCAGCAGGGCCTTTCATTGCTAGACTGTGGGCGCCTAATTGCCATTAGCTAGCTTTAATTGATGCTTCGCGGATTCATAAGAACACTGCCAGTATTCCTTACTTAACCTTTTGTTTTTAATTATTAAACAATGTCTTTGCTCTTTAGAGAGATGTATCAAAAGAATTAGTAGGACTTTCATCCACTTATGCTGATTGTTACCCACACACACAATGATATGAAAATGATCTTTAGGAACAGACTTCATTAACATCCCCAGAATTCTTATCTTTGTTCTTTTACCTTACTGAAAGAATAAATGAATCACCATTGCCCTAAGCTGCTATGGCGTGGTTCATAACCGACATACATGGTATGTTACAGGATCATGCTGCCCACCAGCATGGCTTGGCCTAAGAGCAAAAGTATTTTTATTGTTTACTAACTCTTGATTTGAGTTTCTCAATACATCCTGATATTACATAAATGAAAGTTGCTGACAGCCTTCTCAATGGCATTATTGCACATCTTCATCAGCCCTGAAGCAAGCCCACCAAAATCAGGAAGGAAATTACAGAATGGACAGCCTCCTTGGTCATTTTAGAACCTACGGCTCCAAATAAAAACGGAATCAGAGATTTTTCAGCTGTCTGCTCACCGGTAGCTTGAGGTAATAAGCAGGCCTGGGGAGCTCGGAAGAGATGAAGCAGGAGTCGGCATGTCATTCTTGCCCCAGGCTCGGCATCCGCATCTCCACAAGCTGGGAAAGCGGGATTTGAACAGCCAGTTACCTAACACATTCAGGAACATGTCTTCCGGTGTTCTATTAAACTAAATTTCCTGGAATAATTTAAATAAATTCCCCTTAAGGTAAAAGTAAGATGCTGGCTATGCTTTTCTGAGAAACCTGACGCTTCCTCAAAAACAGAACCAAAACAGTAGTTTCTACCTTTTCCACAGGGATCCATCACCACTTCGTATGCACCAACATTCACAATTCTAGCATCCTCACCTTGATGCCACACCACCACCCAATGCATGCACCCTTAAGCTCTTCCTTCGCTGTGTTTTCACAGTTAGAAACCATCCCCTCTCCCCCAGCCAACAAGCACACACCAAACGCCTCCTGGACGCTGCCATACCTGCTGCTAGGAGAGAGGGCAGGGCAACGTGCTGCACGACGTCCTCCAGCGAGAAACACTGTCGTGCTATCAGGATAGCAATGAAAGTAGCTAATGAATCATGGAAGGAAAGGTCACTCACCTTCAAGAAAAACATTGACACGTTTTAATACCTAACATCCTTTAACTAATATCCAAGATTAATTTCTAAGAGAATGTAGGCAATATCAATAAGATCTCGAATCCCAAAATGAGCCATAGAGCGAAGTGATAACTTACTGTGACCACCGTCCCCTAGGCCCTAGTTGTACTGTGTAAGACAAAGAAGGAGGTTTGCCCACGTCCCAATGCCTTAAAAAGATACGAGCTTTATCTCGAGTACATGTAATCGAAAAACAAAGCAACAAAAAAGCAAAACTGAGAAATCCCTAAAAGATGTGGCATAAATAAAACTTTTTAGCAGAATGCAGCACCATCTGTCATTTAAGGGTAACCATTAGGAAGCAAGGGAAAACGAGGAGGTTCCCCTGATTGAGAAGCAAGCCTGGATGATATTTGGGAGCTCTTGTCAGGGATAGCAAAGAATGAGTCTTTAATATACTTAAAGTACTTTTAAAAACAATTCTGAAAATTTCCAATTGACTCCTAAATTTAAAAAGAGAGAGAGAGAGAAAAGAGGAGGAAAATTAATGCGTTCAGAGTGAGATCTCTACCTTTACAGATCTCACAAGAGGGCAGAAAATAGCAGCCTTCACGTTAAGCTGAACCATGTGCCAGTGACTATGGTGAGCGATTTACAAAGATCACCTCATTTAACAGCACAACACCATGAGGTTCATACAAAGCGGAGCTAAAGTGTAACAAAAGCAAGCAAGAGGTTAAGGAACAACGTTGAAGATAAAAATTTGGGTCTTTTCTACATGGAAAAGTAGGCCACAGATACAAGTTTTCTACCTAAAATCCTAGGTGCTCATAGAACAGAGTAGGACTTCACCCACCCTCGAGATACCAGAACTTGGAAGTAAACTTTCAGTGGGGAGGTAGTTTTTAAAATGTATAAAGTTCTTCCATACGTAAGTTATATTAACAAACAACATGGACGGCTCCAAGACGTGACAGGCAGAAATAGATAAACAAAGACTCAAGACGGATTTTTAGAAAATTCACACATCATGGACCCAATATGATACTCGAGGAAATCTGTGATACATGACAAGCGTCTCCTCATCACCTTCCAGACAGTCACTAGGAAAGACGGGACACCCAAGTGCATCTGAGCCTGGACATCCTTACACAACACAAGGGAGTCTGTATTCTTACAGTGCACTTTGATCTTAAGGAAACAAAGTGATTCTCTTCAGAACGTAAATGCTTTAGTTAAATTATGTCCTGTGCCGTGAGGTACCCAAGGCACTTGGTAAAAACTAGGAACCAACAACCCTGAAGAGACAATACATAAGAAATCTCAGCTAACCAAGAAGGAGACTCTTGGCATCTCTGCTGTAGACTAAGCTATCTATTTTATTTAAGTTTTTTATTTATTTAATCCTTGGCAATCACACTCTAGTCTATTACATTTGGAGAGAGAAAGAAAAAATATCCTACAACATTTCAGTAAAGGGTCTAGTCAATTAAAGAAAAATTACTAACTAAATAATTAATTGCACAGGTGAGTTTTTAAATGAAAAAGAAAACTTACATCTACAGTGCAAAGTACATCATTAAACCCCCACACGTGATTTGAAGAACAACAGAGGGCCTTGAGGACTCCCAGCCACTCTGAACTGAGGACGGTGCAGCAAGCTGTCAGCTCAGAGGAGAAGTTGGCTATGTCATTAATCCTAGAAAGAAGAAAAAGAGCATAGTAGAAAGCAGCAAAAGGGAAGCACGCACGTGCACTATACTTAAGGAACACATATTTCCCTACCATCGAGCAAGTGATTCATTTCTTATATTCAAGGACATAACAAATACCCAACTTGTCAAATAACCTAGCGGATCTGGAACAAAAGATAAAAGTACATGGCTTCAAATGTTTTCTACTATTTAATCCTGTTGAGCCACACAAACTAATCAGTACAGATGTTAATTACCATATTTTTAAGTCTGTGAACAAATGTGACCTATAAATTTACATTTTCTAAAAATTCAATTAGTTTATTGAGGTAACACAGTTTATACCATTATATACATTTCAGGTGCGCATCACTACATTTCTGTATAGACTACATCATGCTTACCACCCAACATCCCGGTGCCATCTGTCACTGCACCCATGTGCCCTTTTATCCCTTTCGCCCTCCCCCTACCCCTCTCCCTCTGGTACCACCACTCTCTTCTCTATATCTATGGGGTTTTTTGTTGGTGGTGGTGGTGCTGCTGTTTTTAATCTTCCAACATATGAGTGTAATCACACAGTATTTGGCTTTATCCATCTGACTTATTTCTTTTAGCATAATACACTCAAGGTCCATCCACATTGTCACAAATGGCAAGATTTCATCTTTTTATGGCTGAGTAGTATTCCATTGTGTGTATATACCACATCTTTATCTATTTATCCATTGACGGGCACCTAGGTTGTTTCCAAGTCTTAACTATGGAGAATAATGCTGCAATGAATACAGGAGTGCAAATATCTTTTCAAATTAGTGTTTTTGTTTTCTTTGAATCAATGCCCAGAAGTGGAATAGCTGGACCAAATGGTAGGTCTGTTTTTAATTTTTTGGAGCATCTGCATACTGTTTTCCATAGTGGCTGCAGCAGTTTACAGCCCCACCAGCAGTGTATGAGGGTTTCCTTTTCTCCACATTCTCTCCAACATTTATTTCTTGACTTCTTAATAATAGCCTTTCTAACACACGAGGTGATATCTCACCATGGTTTTGATTTGCATTTCCTTAATAATTAGTGATGCTGAACATCTTTTTATGTACCTCTTGGCCACCTGTATATCTTCTTTGGAAAAATATTTATTCAGAGCCTTTGCCCATTTTTTAATTGGATGGATAGTTTTGTTGTTGCTGAGATGTATGAGTTCTTTATATAATTTAGATATTAACCCCTTATCAGATATATGATTTGCAAATATCTTCTCCCAATGGTTAGGTTGTCTTTTCATTTTGATGGCGGTTTTCTTTGCCGTGAGAAAGGTTTCTAGTTTGATGTAGTCCCATTTGTTTATTTATTCTTTTGTTTTCCTTGCCCTTTCCTTGCCTGAGGAGACATGATATTCAAAAGATGTCAAAGAGTGTACTGCCTATGTTCTCGTCTAGGAATTTTATGGTTTCAGGACTCACATTCAAGTCTTTAATATATTTTGAGTTAATTTTTGTGTATGGTATAAGATAATTGTTTTCATTTTTTTGTGTGGCTGTCCAGTTTTCCCAACACCGTTTATTGAAGAGACTTTCCTCTCCCCATTGTATGTTCTTGGCTTCTTTGTCAAAAATTAGCCATCCATAACTGCATGGGTTTATTTCTGGGCTCTCGATTCTGTTCCACTGATCTGTGTGTCTGTTTTTTTTTGCCAGTACCATGTTGTTTTGGTTTACTATAGCTTTGTAGTATATGTTGAATTCAGGGAATGTGATACCTCCAATTTTGTTCTTTATCTTAAGATTGCTTTGGCTATTCAGAGTCTTTCGTTGTCCACATACATTTTAGTATTTTTTGTTCTATTTTTGTGAAAAATGTCATTGGGACTTTGATAGAGATTACACTGAATCTGGAGAATGCTTTAGGAAGTACGGACATGTTAACTATGTTAATCTTCCAACCCATAAACATGGAATATCTTTCCATTTCTTTGTGTTTCCTTCAACTTCTTTCAACAATGTTTTATAGTTTTCAGTGTACAACTCTTTCTCCTCCTTGCTTAAATTTATTCCTAGGTATTTTATTCTTTTTGTTGTGATTACAGATGGGATTGCATTCTTGATTTCTCTTTCTGCTAGTTCATTGCTAGTGTATAGAAATGCAACTGGTTTTTGTATGTTGACTTTCTACCCTGGAACTTTACTGTATTTGTATATTACTTCTAATAGTTTTTTGGTGCATTCTTTAGGGTTTTCTATATATGAAGTCACATCATCTGCAAATAGTAATCATTTTACCTCTTCCTTTCCAATTTGGATACCTTTTATTTCTTTCTTGCCTAATTGCTCTGGCTAGGATTTCCAATTCTACGTTAAATAACAGTGGTGAAAGTGGGCATCCTTGTCTTGTTTCTGTTTTTCACCACTGAGTATGATGTTAGCTGTGGGTTTGTCATTTATGGCCTTTACTATGTTGAGGTGCTTTCCTTCTATACCAATTTTGTTGAGAGTTTTTATCACAAATGGATGCTGAATCTTGTCGCATGCTTTCTCTGCGTCTACTGAGATGATTACGTGATTTTCATTCTTCATTTTCTTAATGTGGTATATCACATTGATTGATTTGTAGATAATAAACCATCCTTGCATTTCTGCAACAAATCCCACTTGATCATCATGCATGATTCTTTTGATGTACTGTTGTATTCAATTTGCCAATATTTTGTCGAAGACTTTTGCATCTACATTCATCAGTGATACTGGCCTGTAATTTTCTTTTTTTGTGTTGTCCTCATCTGGTTTTAGTATCAGGATAATGTTGACCTCATAGAATGAATTAGGAAGCAACCTCTCCTCTTCAATTTTTTGGAAGAATTTGAGAAGGATAGGTATTAAGTCTTATTTGAATGTTTGGTAGAATTCACTGGGGAAGCTGTCTGGTCATGGAATTTTGCTTTTAAAAGGTTTTTGATTACTGTTTCAATCTCCTTACTATTGATCAGACTATTCAGATTCTCTATTTCTTCTTCATTCAGTTTTGGAGGGTTGTAAGATTCTAAGAATTTACCCATTTCTTCTAGACTATCCAATTTGTTGCCATATAGCTTTTTGTATTTTTCTCTTTTAATCCTTTGTATTTCTGTGGTGTCTGTTGTTAATTTCTCCTCTTTCATTTCTGATTTTATTTATTTGAGCCTTCTCTTTTTCTTGGTGAGTCTAGCTAGAGGTTTGTCAATTTTGTTTTTCACAGAACCAGCTCTTAGTTTCAATCTTTTCCATTGTCTTTTTAGTCTCTATTTCATTTATTTCCACTCTGATTTTTATTATTTCCTTCCTTCTACTAATTTTGTGCTTCATTTGTTCTTTTTCTAGTTTTTCTAGGTGTAATATTAGATCGTTTGATATTTTTCTTGTTTCTTCAGGTAGGCCTGTATTACTATAAACTTCCTAGTACTGCTTTTGCTGTGTCCCATAGATTTTGTTGTCATATTTTCATTTTCAATTGTGACCAGATATTTTTTTATTTCTCCTCTGATTTCTTCGTTGACCCAATAGTTGTTCAGTAGCATTTTGTTTAATCTCCACATTTCTGTGACTTTTCTAGATTTCTTCTTGTAACTGATTTCTAGTTTAACATTGTAGTCAGAAAAAAATGCTTGATATTATTTCAATATTCTTAAATTTACTGAGACTCGTTTTGTAGCCTAATATGCGATCTATCCTGGAAAATGAATGTTCCATGTGCATTCAAAAAGAATGTATATTCTGCAGTTTTTGAATGGAATGTTCTGTATATATCTACTAAATCCATCTGGTCTAATGAGTCATTTAAGGTATTGATCTTGTCTGAATGATCTATCCATTGATGTAAGTGGAGTGTCGAAGTCCCCTATTACGGCATTACGGTCAACTTTTCCTTTCACATCTGTTAATATTTGCTTTATGTATTTAGGTGCTCCTATGTAGGATGCATAGATATTTACAAGTGTTATGTCATCTTGTTGGGTTGTCCCCTTTATCATTATGTAGTGCCCTCCTTTGTCTCATGTTACAGTTCTTGTTTTAAGGTCAATTTTGTCTGATATAAGTATTGCTAGCCCAGATTTCTCTTTGTTTCCATTTGCATGGAGTATCTTTTTCCATCCCGTCACTTTCAGTTTGTGAGTATCTTTAGGACTGAAGTGTATCTCTTATATGCAGCACATATATGAATCTTGTTTTTCATCCATTCAGCCACCCTATGTCATTTGATTAGAGCATTTAGTCCATTTACATTTAAAGTAACTATTGATAAGTATGTACTTGTTGCCATTTTGTTACTTTTTTCTGGACGTTTTTGTAGTTCTTCTCTCTTCCTTTTTTCTTCTCTTGTTCTCTTCCCTTGTGATTTGTTGGCTTTCTTTAGTGTTCTGTTTGGGTGCCTTTCTTTCTATTTTTTGGGAATTTATTACAGGTTTCTGCTTTGTGTTTACCATGAGGTTTATATGTAATAACCTATGTATATAGCAATCTATACTAAGTTGATTGTCTCTTAAGTTCAACTTCTTAGTAAAAGCCCTACACTTTTACTCCCTCCCCCCATGTTTTATGTTTTTGACATCATATTTTTACCTGCTTTATTTTTGTGGATCTCTTAACATAGATATAGATGATTTTAGTACTTTTGTCTTTTGACTTTCATGCTAGATTTATAGGTGGTTGATCCACTACCTTTACTGTATATTTGCCTTTACCCATAATATTCTTTCTTTGATAATTTTCTTATTCCACTTTGTGGCCTTTTCTTTTCCACTTAAATAAATCCCTTTAACACTTCTTGTAAGACCACTTCACTGGTGAAGAACTCCTTTAGTTTTTGCTTGTTTGGAAAACTCTCTCTCTCTCTTTCCATTCTGAATGGTAACCCTGCTGGGTAGAGTATTCACGGTTGTAGGTTTTTCCATTCAGCGGTTTGAGTTTATCATGCTACTCCCTTCTAGCCTGTAAGGCTTCTGCTGAGAAGCCAGCTCATAGCCTTATGGGGTTTCCTTTGTATGTAACTTGTTTTTCTCTTGCAGCCTTTAGAATTTTCTCTTTCATTCTTGATATTTTAATTATAATGTGTCTTGGTGTGGGCCTGTTTGGGTTCACCTTGTTTGGTAATCTGCATGCTTCCCATACCTAGATGTCTGTTTCTTTCCCCAGGTTAGGGAATTGTTCAGCTATTGTTTCTTAAAATAAGTTCTCCGCCCCTTTGTCTTTCTCTTCTTTTTCTGGGACACCTATAATGTGGATGTTAGTATGTTTGATGTCCCAGGGTCCATTAGACTGTCCTCATTCTTTTTAATTCTTTTTTCTTTTCAGCTTGGATGATTTCCTCTAGTCTTTCATCCAGTTGCTGATCTATTCTTCTTGTCATCTACTCTGCTGTTGATGGCCTCTAGTGAATTTTTCATCTCCATTACTATATTCTTCAGCTGTGATTGGTTCTCTTTTACACTTTCTAATTCTTTGCTTAAGTTTTCACTCTGCTAATCTATTTTTCTCCCTATTTCAGTGAGCATCCTTATGACTATTAGTTTGTACTCTTTATCAGGGAGATTGTTTATCTCTGTTTCATTTAGTTCTTTTTCTGAGGATTTATTTGGGACATATTTCTTCATCTCCTCATTTTGCCTACTTCCCTGTGCTCATTTCTATGTATCAGGTAGATCAACTATGTCTCCCAGCCTTGGAAATGTGGGCTTATGTAGAAGAGATGTCTTATGGGACCCCGGAGTATGTTCCCTTTTCATCACCCATGACAAATGTTCCAGGGATGTCCTCTGTGTGGGCTGTGTGTGCCCTTTTGTTGTGGTGGGGTTATTATGGCTGTGGATGCACGGGTAGGCTGGGCTGGCACCCAGGCTGGCTGGTTGTGAGGCCCAGCCACATGCAGCTCCTACAAGCACATTATTGGGTGGGGCAAGCCTGTTGCACGGATGTCTATGATGTCTGATAGTACACAACTACTGTAGTTTTGCTGGTAAGTTGTTTTTTTTTCACGGTGGGCATGAAGTCCAGCTTCTTTATTTTTGATAACTTCCATTTTATCAACAAAGTAGGAAGTAAGGCTATCAAGAAGATTAGAAAGGTTTCAGGCTGAGGACGTGAGAAAAGTGGAGAAGATAATAAAGCAGCAGTTCTTTAAAAATAAGTCAAACTTTTCAACAATTCACAATATATTTCCTCCCAGTTAGTGGGAATCAATGATGTTCTCCAATTACACTGGATTTATGAACAAGTTAGGCATACAAGAGATTTTATTCCCTCTTCTTTGTTTTGGCCTTCACTTCCTGATGCTCTCCTTCTCCTGACCCAAGTTCCACTATGATCTTTGACTTCCCAGGGAGAAGTGTTCACTTTAACTTGCAGGCAAATAATATTACACTCTGAAGGCTCCTCAAGCTAAATGACCATGCTAGGTCCAGAGGCACACAACCGCTGCAGGCCCCTGGTGTGGCTGGCTACACGGCCTGCAGCATTCAGCTGCCTCAAATGCATTGGTGGGTGGGGCAGGCTTCCGGTGAAGTCAGCTGCACAGCACAGCTGTTGCTCACTCACTTTTCGGCAGGGACAGGCCTCTGGCAAGAACTGGCCAGGCAGCCCTGTGGTGCACAGCTGCCTCAGGAGCGCTGATGGGCAGGTCCAGCCCTAGGAGCAGCAGTGTGCAACCATTTCAGGTGTTGGAGGTGGGGCCGATCCCCTGTGTGCGAGGCCCAGGGGCTCAAGTCAGCTATGGGCTTGCTCGGGGTGGGGCCAGCGGGCTGCCTGCCGCCTTGCCTCACTCAACTACCCCCGGTGCTCCAGTGGGCAGGGCAGATCCCGCACTAACAGGCTGGAGAAAGGATTCCAATGGCGGCTTCCAGCATCTGTGTCATAGGACCAAGCTAGGTCACAATAACGGCTGTCACCAGTGTCTCAGTCCCTGAGAAGATGGGCACAGCCAGCTACAAGATGCGCTCTGAGCTCAGTAAATGAGTCTTTTTTACCAATGGACCGTGCACTTTTCTACTGGTGTTTTTATGCTGGCTTCCGGGTTGAGTGAATCTGTGTGTGGGCCCTTTAAGAGCAGGTTTTGCTGTCCCTGAAGTTCTAGCTTTCCTGGGTGTATTCCCCATTGGCTTTCAAAGCCAGGTATTATGGGATCTTGTCTCTCTTGTCCTGGGTTGCCCAACGTGGAGCTCGAATCCCCATTCCTCTGGGAAAACCTCGGCACCTTTGAGATGGCTCCCTCCTGTGAAGCGCCACAACTGGGGTGTGTTTTTTTCCCTCTGTGGGGCTGTTTCTCTGCCTCTTCCACCCCCGTCTGTGTTGTCCCTTGTCGTGGACATTCTTTTTTATCCACTGTCCAAGTCTCCCTTGGATGAAATTATTCCACAGGGAGTTGTAGGTCTGTTGTGTCCTTGGGAGGAGGCGAGTTCAGGATCCTCCTTCGCTGCCATCTAACAAACTCCCCGAGACGTGTACTTCGAGTCAAACATTGTCACCCACGCATCCAGTCCCAAGTTATCACTGAGCAGAAACCTCCACTCACTTTTGTGTGTTTTACCTGCAGGAGCACAGCCAGGTTCTCACCACAAATATTGGAGAAAAGCCACACTGTGCTTCTGGCAGGGGGAGGGGCAAAGGAGCCATTTCGAAATGCCCCAGGACACTCTAAATTTACATTTTTTAAGGGCATCAAGAAAACTAAAGAAACTCTGTAATTTAGATAGGCCTAAATATGATGTTTTCAAAACATAGGTATTTGTTATTTGTATTTGTACTATATATGTTTTTTATAAACAGATAGATAACTTACAGATTTATCTAAAGCATCTCCTGCCAGAACAATAAGCCAGAAAAAGCACTGTTTCTCAGGTTTTGGAAATCACAGTATAGAGCAGCGGTAAAGTCAAAAATAAAAGAACACGAAAAAAAAAAGCAAACGACATCCAAATATCAGCCTAGGCAATTGCTAAAGACGCTCATGTCACAGGAGCCCCAAGGCCACAACTGCGTGGTTAAGCATGAATTCCAGGGTGACTCAGCTCACCTTCCAGCATCCTGATGGCCCATACACACATTCATGAGTGTGTTGCAGACGAAGCTGTAGCGATTGGCCGCGTTGTCACTAAGGATCTTGCCCAGCACTGAGTAGTTGATGCTACGGGCTGAAGGATTCTCGATAAAATCCATCATGAAGTCCGGATCCCATCGCAAGTTAGAATTTGCAGGCATCACATTATTATAGATGGTTTGCTTAACTTTTGAACAGGCACTACTGAGGTTACAAGAAGAAGAGTTAAAGAAAAAACAAAACTAGAATAACCAGGAAGTTATTTCAATTAAGGGCAGATTAAATGACAACAACTGTAATGTATTCCCAGAGAAGATTCACATTATGAGTTCTTGATTCCAACTTCTTAGGAATTGGCACTGGGCACAGTGCCCGGAATGCAGTAGCTGCTCAATAAATTTAAAAAAAAAATGTTTTTAAGTTGCTGAATGGGTGGAAGAACAAAACAAGAATAAGACGTTTGGTTACGAATCTTAATTATTTTCTGAAGCTTTTCTACATTTTACATGCTCTAAGAGGATTTACTAAGGCTTCCAACAACTATATCTGAATAGTGGTTATAAAGTGTTATTACTTCAGAATAAAAATGGATTAGATTATACACCAGACGTGATTAGTGCTATATTTCCCCCCAAACTCCCATTACACAACTTTATAGGTGGCGCTTCACATCCCATTATTACAGCTGTTTAGTAGAGGGAATTTCAGGCAGTGCTGCTCCCGGTGAGGCACCGCCACGCTGATCCCAAGCAGCGCCCCCATCCGTCGTCGGTCTCCTAACCTCCACACGCCCAGTGCACATGACTTGAATAACTCACTAACAGGCTTGCACTACCCTGCAGGAGCTCAGGAGCCAAGAGGCTGTTGGGCTTTCTTGGGAAGTTCACTGTAAAAATCAGGGCTGTTGCAACAACCGCGTCACGTACGAGAAAGCTCTCTGAACCCTCAACTGAAACTGAAAGCTCTCCATCAAGGAAGAGGACAGGGGGTTATTATTATTACATCATTCTGGGCAAAGATGTTTCCAGACTCACTCAAATGCTCTAAAAGGGATTCTTTTGAAATCTAACTCAATTCACGAAGACACACTGCCACATTTTTTCCCTATCAACACCAGTGAAAATACCATGATTTTTTTTGGTCTGTATCTTTCATCCAACAGATTTTTTGCAATGTCTGCTATGAGCAGATGCTCTTCAAGGCACTGGGATACAGCAGCAAAGAAAACACAAAAAATGTCTGCCTTCATGAAGCTTACATTCTAGGAAGGAACCAGACCATAATAAATCTATAATGTACCGAGAGAGGAAGCTCTAAGGGTCAGAGAATGACAGAGAGTACGGGGCACAGGGGTCGGGGAGGCAGAGCACGAATGAACTGTGGGTGTGAGCATGCAAGGAACTGGGGAGAAGCACTAGGTGTGCTCTGCAAAAGCCCCAAGACAGGGGTGTGCTTGCTGGTTTGAAGATGAGTAAGGGGTCTCAGTGTGTAAGAACGGAGTGAACAGAGAAAGAGACAGAAGAGAAAATGAGATCCTGAAAGCTAGGTAAGGACTTTGAATTTTGTTCTCAGTAGATGAGAAGCCACAGGAAAACTTCAAGTCATTCCTGTTTTAAAAGAATGCCTTTAGTGGAAATGTTGGTAATATGCTCAGGAGAGTCAGGGTGTAAGCAGGGAAACCGGTCAGAAGGCTCTGCAGTGGTCCAACCAAGAGACAAGCATGGAGGCAGAGGCAGAGCAGTGAAGAGCGGTCAGATCCTAGACACACCCGGAAGGTCAAGCTCACAGGACTGACAAACAAACCGGATGCAGCATACGAGAGGGCCAAGACAACCCCAACCGGGTGTTCCTTCCTTACCTCCTTCTAGATTCCAAATTTATTCTGCCAACTATTACTGTCTCCTTCCTTCCCCCCACTTACAATTAATAATCTAAATTTCCTCAAAATAACATTAAATAAGTATGTATTTTCCAGCACCTGTCTACATGTTGGGGTGGCAAGTGGTAAGACGCAGAGAAGGACAGGGAGTCGGAGATGCTATCAGAAATAGGATGGTCAAGGGAGCAGAGAAGCAAACAAAGTGAGAAAGTAAGTCGCAGATGGTAGGGAAGCAACATTCCAAGTGAGGTAACAGCAGGTGCAAAATGCAGGATGTTTTCTCTCATGTTTATCTCAAAACTGCAATCATAGCTAAACGTGCACAGTAATTTGTAACAGGAGGTTATAGCTACAATGAAAGGTAACTCGATGTGCATTCTGGCAGATGCAATTATGATTAACTTTCACTACTAAAAAGGATGACGATAGTGGTTGAGTCTATCACAAGCGTAGGCATAACCCTGTTCCCGTTATTTTGATTTTCTTCTACCCACCTGAAGAGGTCTCCAAATTTACTTCTGAGGTGGCTACAGGACACGTAGAGGTCATAGAGGTAGGCTAAGATGCATCTTTCGGGGGAAGAACACTCCGAGGGGTTCGCGACGTGCTTCACCACACCGCACAGCCTGGGGAGAATGACACGGGGGACGAGAGGCACATTTTGCTTATACGTATGTTACCGTCTCAATCTTTTAGAGTGAGAACACATCCATGTATAACTTGAGTAAGAAAAGAGAGATCAGACTGTTGACACGAATCACTAAGGCAATGGCAAATAACTGAATAAAGGGTCAGTTTTCGATTACGATAATGAGATACCAGATATTAAAAAAAAATTCAGAAATGCATTAACAACAAGAAGTGAAAGAAATCCTCCACACAGAAGGCATAGATGGAGGAATCCGTCAGTTAAGTGGCTGAGACTAGAACACAAAATGAAAGGTAAGGAGAGACCCTCCCTTCAGTAAAAAGATACACAAATTCAGGGAGTTTGCAAAGATCCTCAAATCCACTCCTTTGTGAAGGAGCAATTCTTCAAAACAGTCAGTCTGGGAAACCCATTTTCAAGACTGTAAGCTGGCTCTGGCGTGAACTTGATGAATTCATGGTTCAGGGTCACATTCTTCTTATTTATTCAAACTAGAAATATTTATTTTAGTTTATCTTACATAAGAATTAGAGCCCCTTCTTTTTAGTACCCTTCTCTACGTGTCTTTCAGGTCAGAAGTACTGTTATTACTCCAACTCTGTGCCATTTTCCCCAATCAGAACGGTGGTCTCTTTGACCATGGTCCATACAACACGAAAGTTCATACAACCCAGAAGTAAACATAGGGGCCCATCCACCTATATGTGAGTCTGATTCCACTACCATCTTGTGTTCTTGTAACACTACTACAATAGTGTCATAGATGACTCATTTTTAAAGCTGAAAAGTGCTTTAGAAATCACCTGATTCATCTCCCTCACTTTACAAGGAAGGCTCTGAGGCTCAGAAAGGTGAAGTAGATTGTCACAGGCAAAGAGCTAGCTCATATCAGATCCAAGAAGAGAGCTAAGCCTCCAGACTCCCAGGGCAGAGAAATCTGCACTATTCAGGGGACAGGGGGGAGCCAGAGGGCGCCTGGGATGTCCAGGCCCACAAGGACACTGGTACCACAGGTGGAACCCAGGGAACTATGGGAGGAAATGTCAGTGGAGCGTCCCAAATCCTATGAGTTGACAGCAGCAGATGGGGCCACCAGACAGCTGACAAAAGCTGTCAATTACAGCAGGTATAACATAATTAAGACGAAAGCAGATTATTCAATCAGTGGTTAATACGTAAACAAAAAAATTCCAGACATAACCTGGAAAACAGAATTATTTTGTGATTAAAGAAAACAGTCCCTTATTGAGAGTTTGGTGGGCACCCACTGCTCAGAGGCCAGTGTTCTTTGAACATGCTGTCACTTGCTAGAGGTAAGAAAAACTCTGATTATTGAGGTCCAGTATACTCATTCATATAAGCTCAAAAAAAGCCGCTTGGGGGAAAATACTTATCCTTACTTTGTATAAAAAAGTTAATATCAAATATGATTTTATGAACATTTAATAGAACATAAATTTAAAATGTCAAAATAAACGATACTAAAATAAATTTCAAAACAAACAAAAAGAAAAAATTACTTGTCAAAACCTGTTCTATCCATTTCACGATGGGAGTCCGCACAGTTTAAGACGTGTGGTCTTAGTCGAGCAGCTCCAGTGAGCTCCTACGAGGAAGGTCTCAGCCGCCCGGGAGATGGAAGAGCCATGTGCTGTTGGCCACCTCCCTTCTCCAAGTGCTTCATTTAACAGGCCTCAGTTCCAGCTCCTTGACTTATAAAATGGTCCTAATTATTCAACCTTACAGGGTAGTTGAGGGTTATTAAATAGTTGTATATTTCCCGAATTCTAAGATGATTACGTTCTCACATTTAAAAATGTCTGGGATGTTTCACATTTCACTTAATAATCAATGTTTACAATTAATGTGCGAGCATTTCCTTTTCCCCAAAAAAGTTGCTGTTAAATGGATGCCACTCTGGAGCAGAGTATAAATTGATGGCTTGTACCAGATTACAAAAGAAAGCACCGTGGAACCAAAGAACCCCATGTTTCTTTTGAGCCAGGCAGGAAAAATGGAAGAGAAAGAAAAACAGGTTATCTTTTTTTTTTAGAAAGCGCTGGAGAAAGGAGTCTGCAGTGGACAAAAAGGAGCTGAGTACAGTTTCTTTGAGAGCTCCTTATACTTCGCTGGTCCCCAAAAGGTTAGCCTCTAATGGGGATGACATCAGGCAGTTACTTAGCCCAACGTCACTAGGGGTAGTAGAAAAAACCTTAGCCTTCAATATACACAAACCAAAAAAGAATAAGAAGCAAGAAAGTCATTTGTTTTAGATTAACTCTTGTCAGAAGAGATCTTTAATTTATAAAAGAAATAAAATTGAAGAAGTAAATCTCTAAGATGACAGTGCATGCAGCAAAGCTGATTTGGTGATGGATCCTCCAAATATAAACTGAAATTACACGAACAAAGTAGCTGTCACGTGTTCACCATTCACACTAAGCCATGATGCTGGGTAGCAAAGATGACAGAGTGCTATAAATGACGGGCTTCTACTCTTAGAAACTAGGGCGGGGGAAGGAAAGCAGGAAGGAAGGAAGGAAGGAATTATATGTTATTAAAAAGAATATACTTTTCATGTTTATATTTCCTTCTTTGATAAATATTTCCTTGCAAAATTATTCTTTAACTATAATTTTTCATCGAAACAAATGTTGGTACTATTTTTCTCTTAAAACCACTATAAAATTTCATCACAAGTTATACATTCCAGGATGTGAAAAACAATAATGGCATCATTTTATATACCAACCCTTCGAACACCTGGGCTGTCTGATCGGGATTCAGGATCAGACAGCTGTGGTACCGCCTAAGAACGGCCACGATGCAGACACACAGGCCCGTCGTGTAACTTCCTGCCAGGCTGGAGGATTTCAGGAGCAGTTCAGCTTCTACAACACTCAGTTCATTTAGTAGCTACAACGGGAGAAAAGAGTGAATAAAAATGTAGCTGCCAAAACAAACAGGAAAAACATTTAGTCTTGTAAACCACAGATGTATTGAGTCATTCTAACCCTACCTGATCTCGCCCCTTATCCTGCCCCAGGACCATATACATATACAACTACAGTCTCAGAAAACACACCCCAATGAATTAAACTGGCTTTTATTTTTAATCTTTTACCAAATTATACAGTTTTTCTTCTGTCTAGACATCATGGTACACGCAATCACACAGTACCCAATACTAAAATAGTTACCAAAACTTCATGGTGGCCCAAAGTTCTGGACTGGATAATTTCAGAGAAGAACATACCCATCTCTCACTTTTTTCCCCCCTTTCCCTCCTTTTTAATAAAATGTAAGTTATTTATCATTACTTTCTTGTTATTAACAAAGCTAACACCTCCACTAGAATAAGCAACAGAAACTAAGTTTTACTCCTATTCACTAACAACATACGATAATAAACGAACTCAAGGTTATATGTAAGAGATATAGCAGGACAAATCAAATTATAAGGTTTTATTTTTTTACTCTTAATCTAAAATATACTGTTATAAAGAGCAAATAAACTTTCACCTTTCCCTAAGCAAAATAACAAAAGACAGTAAAAACTATCCTCAAAACTCTCACATTTTTAAAGACTATTACATATTTTATCACTATAATTATTTAATTGAAAACTACGACCACAGGTGCAATTAAAATGGTAGTTGAATACTGTTGATTCATAATTTCTCAATTATTCAAAAATGCACTGGGTGGCCCATTTTAAATCGTATGAGGCCTGGCAGGTTCGCTTCCCTAAAAATGAGAGAAGCAGGGTCTCTTTGACACCTGTATTGCGAAGTCAATTAGTCCATTGATGTTCAGTGCTGGCTCCATGAGATCAAAAATGAGCTGAATATGGTGAGCCAAAGGGAGGTGATAGGAGGTCCCTGATGCGAAGCTTGTGATCTGCTCCAGCACATTGTTAGAGATCTGTGAAGAAAGGATGGAAGTAATTAAAAGGCAAACATTCCCAATAATTTTTACTTGTCAAATTATTTTAATTTTTTAAGCAGGAAATTTGAATTTATATGTGATTCTACTTAGAAGAAAGTTAACACACGTTCCTACAGAAACCAAAATCATGTACAAATCAAACAACTTCCTTACTACAACTATAATTTGAAGAAATAAACCAAGTTGTCATTAAGATCTAGACCTAACTATCTTAAAGGTGGAACAGCTACAAATGTTAATTAATTTCCAGATAACATCTATGTGAATATCAAAGGATTTGTAAAACAAAACAGATTTGGTTTCTTCCCAACTGCACAGTATTTTATTTCAGTCATCAACAGATTTCTCCCTTATCAATAGCGATGTAGAACCAAAATGGGGTGACATAAGTATGGCGTTAGGGTGTTGATTATTATCATAAGGTAAAAGCAATATCATGATAAAAATTAACTCTGCTGAGGAAGGCAACCTGACACTTAAAACTGACCTACTCAATAGTTTGAGATGTTTCCAAATATATTTTTAAAAACATATCTATAAAGACAACTAAAGCCAAAAACATACTGCACAAACGAGATTTTGAAGGAAATGTGACTACCCCACATGTATTTAAGACAGCGTTAAATGGCCACCTGAGACGTCACTTGATGCTGATCAAAATACGACAGGAGTTGGAGTTTTGTGAACACAGTCTCCAGTGTTGGAAACGCTTCCTGTTTGCTCTTCCTGGCTTTTTGTCCTTCATCTCCAACTAAACAAACACATAGTGGATTCATTATTTTCCATTTAATAGAAGTGCTTGACTTTTTTGATGGATACTTTTTATTAAAGTATAACACACATACAGAAAAGTGCACCAACTCTATGAATTTCTACAAATTAAATACTTATGCCATGAAACTCAAATCTCATACCAGAGAATTTTATACCAATGGAACTATATGATAGATGCATTTAACGGCTGGCATCTTTCACTCAACATTATGCTTCTCAGATTGATCCATATTGTTGAGGTAATTTTAATTTGTTCTAAAAATTAATAATTCTCACTTATATACAGTATTCCAATATGTAACTATACCATCATTTATTTATCCATTCTAGTGAGTAGTTCCTAGATTTTGGGTACTATGAGATGTGCCTCTGTGAACATTTCTAAGTGACTTTTAAAATACGATGATAGTAACAATGAAGGGGGGAAAATCACCCAGCCTCACTCTGACTAATAGGAAACTTCACTGGCATCTTAGGAGACTCACTGTGATATTTTTTCCCAAACAGTTTAATATTTAACATAGGAAATTTACACGATTCCTAACACTTTTAGGGGTAGGAAGGAATTAAATTACTCTACATTAATGGGAAAGTGCTACATTGATAAATTCAGAATAAAGAAGTTTGAAGAAAATGTGATAAATATTACTTATCCCAGAGGAGGAATTCTTATTCTTTTCAAGAGTTCTAAGGATAAGATCCAAAAATAATTAGATCTTGCTTTTAAATATTTCTTAATATATGTATTTACCAAGACAAATCTAAACACAAAAAGGAAAGATTAGATTATATGATCTCTAAGGTCATTTCCAACAGCAGGATGCTAAGTAGTCAAAGGTCATAGACATAAAGAGCTCTGCCACTCACATCTTATTTGGAAAGTTCAATTTCAGAGAACAAAGGTCACTTCAAACATTTCTCTATTAAAGACACAGGAGAGACTGCATTGAACTCAAAAAGATATTGCAAATGAAAAATATAATGGTTTTAGAAAGTAACATTAGAAAAGGAGACTTCTTTTTCAATAATAAGCAATTATAGTTTAAGCCACCTCATCCCAAAAAACCCCAGGTTTTGTCCTTATTTCCTAAAACAAACAATACCTGATACCAGAGTAAATCAGAATTAAAAGGTGCTGAGGAACATAGGTGTAAGATTACGCCAATTTCATCAAATAACACCAAACATAAAGCAAACAACACAAACTAAGAAGTTCATTAACCTATTTGCTTTTCAGTATCTGTTCTCAAAGGCACAAATTAAGTGTGGAATTCTGCCTTCCATATAGCTGCTTACAAGTCATGAGCATGTTTAAAACGGCCAAGTTTTGAATTTTTCATTTACTAACATCACCAATCCAAGGCTGAAAGCTCACACCAGTAGTGTTGGGTACAATGTGCTTTAAAACTGAAGGTAACATAATTATTTAGTCCTTCCTGGGACCAAAACAAACAAAGGAACAAAAATGGCAGACGTGATGAGGCAGATCCAGCACAGAACTCCAACGCTTCTCTGTTTGTTTGTTTATGCCAATAGGCTCCATTCACTTACATACAGCTAACTTCTTAAAATCTCATAGAGAAAAGATGTAATTGCTTCCTGGTATTTTACATTCACTTTCAAAGAAAAATACAAGAAACTAGTGGTGGTTCTCAATGGAATATTTTATTTTAATGATATTTACATGAGTTACAATTTTGTCATAACTCAGATTTTCCTCATCTGTCGTATGTTAACTTGCTTTCATAATATATATATTATTGCTCTTTTGTTGCTTAATTTTGGTCTTCTTTTTAAAAAAATCTTTACATCCTAGAAGTTTTGGCCTTTTAGAGATTGTTACGGTAAATTTCATTCATGTTTTCAAAAGACTTACCACTGAAAACCAAAGATAACTAGTCAAAGTAAATGTAAAATGAAGTATGATTTTGTTCAGCTGGAAAGGTCATGTAAGCGTTAGATCACAAACTCCCTTAGGTAAGGCCTGGCTGGTCTAGGAACACTCCTGGCAAGTTCCTAAAGTCATGTTTGTCTGTGCAGCTGGAGAGCAACGCATACTAACACAAGCTCTGCTTTCCTGCCTTATCAATCCTCATCTTTGAGAAAAAAGCGGGCAAATTTCCATTAATCTCAGGTACAGTTAGCTGGCTTCTGGTGAGCATACTAGGTTTTAAGTGGTGACTTGAACTTAAACACTCGGAAGACAGCTCACTACATCCCAAATCAACATATCTCTGCTTGCGGGATTTTATCTAAAATGAGGGAAAGACAAAAATCCCCTTTGAAGATGCCTCTCCACAGCCGTGCTTTCTATTACTGATATCCCAAAAAGCAGCACGAACAACAGAGATTTTTCTATCTGTGAGTCCACAAGCGAGAACTGCTTGTTTAAGAGTCTGGTACAAAGATAGGACAGACCTCAGTCTGGCATTAAAACCTCTTTGCGAAGGAAGGAAGTAGACTCAACAGAAAAGGAGACCACACTGCTTCCTTCCCCTTGCCCAGCCTCTCAGCCTTCCAAGGCCGAACCTGCCACAGGGCCTGGAAAGACTCTGCCAAATTAATTCAGATAAAACGTGTATTACTGAACCTTCCAAAAGAGAGAGAGTCCACCCCATTTCCAAGTACACAGAAAGCAGTTTCCAAGGTTCTCCGTTAGCTGGTTGCAGGCCTTCTAAATTTAACCTTCTAATCGCAACCCATTTCCTCTTTGCTCTCAGAGAAAAGAGCAAAACAACAGATCGACAGTTTTTCTTAGAGCAGCTTCTTTTTTTTCAAGTTCAATAACGACAGGCCTACAACAATGGGTTTCATTTCCCTTCCACATTCTGCGTCGTCCCCTCATGGAGCCAGAGTAGCGCAAGGTCCTTAACTGGCGATGGCGGGTGGGGGGCATGAGGAATGTGATGTACATCACAGGAAAGTAACCTTCCCATCGTGTTCTCAGGACCCTCGCGTCCCACGTCACACTCCCGCATCGTCACATTCAGACTGGAAACGGGCGGCCCTCGTACCTTGTTGCTGCATGTGTGCTCCTACTGGTGGAGAGGAAAGGGAGCTTTCTGCATTAGGTACATCTGTCCTTTTCTGCAGGAAAGTGTGGATGTGCAATTCATCCTGTTACAGTCTCAACATTGGACCCCCTTTGGAGAGGTTCATAAAAAAGTGTTCATTTTGGACTGAGCAACAATGCAGGGCTCCCAGAGGCGGTTCATGCCATGTGCGAAAGTGCGCTGTTGGCACAGTGAAAACCCAAACTTTTCTTCCTCTGTATTATTCAAGCAATAGAGAAATAAATACCAGTGGTGGTAATGGAGTATATATAATGCTATCGTTTTTGCAATCATGAGACTGCCTAATAAAATTAACAAACTTTGAAAAGAGTAATTAGGCAAATGTGAAGCGGATAATTAACAAAATTCCAATTATGCAATGTGGTGACATAACATGACGGTACAGCTTCACTGTAAAAACTCTGTAAAAGCCTGGGGAGGGAGTATGCCAAGTAGAGAAGGACCCAATTTTCTCTTTCTCTTGAAATCATCTGGTGATATGGGTAGCCCCCACGACCTATTACAATTATTCTAAATAACGTAAGAAAAGATCAGCAGAAACACATCACGATTTTCAATTATCATGCAAATATGAGCACGCAGGTCAAACCACAAGCCTGAAAAAGGACAGACTAGAATTGGGGAAATAGATCTCTTCTCAACTAAGGGTTTTCCAACTCATTCTTCAGCACTTCATTTAAGAGCACTGTAGAAAAACGTGAGAGGTATTAAAAAAAAGAGCAGAAAATGAGAATTACCTACATCTATCTATAGAACATGCCATTTTAATACAAAGATCACTATAAATGGAACCAAGGCCTCAAAATGTCAGTGTGCTGACTCATATTTCAAAGTGCAGTCATTCGGGAGAGGAAACACTGGTGACCGTGCCACGTCCCCTCTGATAAAGATGTGCTGAGAGCGAGCCTGAGGACAGCACGATGGAGCAAATGCAAAAGCTTCTCACCCCCAGTCTCGGTGCTGCTCTTCTTATTTAGGATTTTCAAAATATCTTTGGTAATTTTCTTCAGCTGATGCCGTGCTTCATCACGCTCCTTGCCCACTCCATAAAGAAGGATTGTGCGCTGGTTACATTCATGACTTGAAGATTCATCCTGAAAAACAGAAAACGCATCCTGAAGCCCTTGTTTGCAGGGGAGGGGCTGCGTTTCGCGTCCATGAGATGCACTGACCACAGCATCTCCATGCCAGCTTGCAGCGTCGCATCCCACTGCCCGCCTTTCAGTCCACCTCAACCTCCAGTGTCAACACCCTTGTTTTTCCAGTTTGGAACTTGCTAAAGTAAAAAAAGGTGTCAACTGACCTGAAGTCTTAATAGAAGCATTTGACGTGGGCGTACCCTACAGAGTAAGTTTTGACGACTGAGAAATTTTTCATTGTTTAAAGATGGGCGTGGTATTAATTTCACATCATATTATATACGATCTAGTCATACTTCTTCCTTAAGGAAAATGCTACTTCTTAGTAAGCTTGGCTTTCTATATACAGCATCGTTAAATATTTTATATTTAGAAAAAAGTTCTCACTGGAATCCTCAAGTACTTTTACCAAAAAATGTTCCATTTACTTCCAACACGACTGCATGAGATACATGGATATTTATTTCCAAATGACAAAACAATAAAGAGTGTGGGTCTCATTAGGGGTGAGGTAAACAGTTGGAAATGTAAACATGTTCTGCGGCCACCTTCCTCTCTGGGTCACCTCTGCACCCCACCCCCCACACACAGGGAATTCAGACACTGCTCTTCTCACACGGGACAGGAAGTTATTTAGTCGCAGCATAATGAGAACACAGACACACCGAGAAACATATTTCCCAGCCAGAGTTAAACAGTCTGGGGCATGTTCTCTCTTGCGCCTGGTTCTGAGTTTTTCTGTCTACGCCCCTCTCTTGGATCTTCCACTCTTCCGTTTTCTTAGCAGAGTTCCCAGCCCTCTCCTTCAGCCTCTCTCCTTTCCTCACTGTCTGGACCCGTTGCCCACGCCGGGCGCCTGCCCTTCCTAACAGCATCTAATCCAGAGGGGCGTACACGAGAAAGGACGTCTCCCAAGGAAAACAAACCGTACCGTGTTCAGAATGAGGAGCGGCTGCAAAAAAGGGCCCAATGCTCGGGACTTGGAAAATCCCAGTCTTTAGTCTGGAGGGCTCCACACGTGTGTGCACTCCGCACAAAGCAGCACGCGGCTTCTGCAGTCCTGAAAGAAGAGCCTCTTTTCTCCCCAGTTTCTGCCACTTTCCTCTCATGCCTGTTTGTCATTCTGTCTTTCTCTCTCACATCCTTGCGTTCAAGACACCACTTCTCCTGGCGCTGGTTCCTTTGCTAATATTCACTTGTACACCCTGCCAATCTACCTTGCTACCCAAACAATTACTAATGCTTCAGGTGTTCAAATATGCCTTCCTTAAAAAAAAAGAAAATTAGGAGCAAGTCTCTTCTAAAAGCTTTGTTATTTAATATCCTGAGCATCCAAAACTCCCCCAAATTGTCAAAAGACAGAGCTAACCACAGGATAAGGTGACACAGGTAGTGATGCCCACACCTGCTTGCACATCTGAATGACCTGAGTTGCCCGTTAGTCCCCAGTTTGTGTTGCTGTTACACAGCCTTATTGATACGTTTCTTTTCTGTCTGGCGGGATGTGTACTTATGAGCCCCATGAAGGGAAAAGGAGGGCACTGAGAAAGCCACAGAACTCAGGCAGTGCCAGTCATGTGTCCTGGCGACTGTTTTCAGTGAAGGCATCTGTCAAATGGCTCTAAAGTAACCTTCTGTGTGAGGGGTGATGGAAAGATGTTAGCAAAGGCACTCAACACCCGTTCATAGAGTATCTACCTACGGCGAGACAAGGTGCCGGGAACCCTGAGAAAATGCATGGATGCCGGGAACCCTGAGAAAATACGAGGAGTGCAGATTCAGCATCAGCAAAGCAGCACTGGCAGAGCTAGAAGGCCAAACAGGGATGAGGAGGGAAGGTATCTGGAGAGACCCACACGCTCATCACAGACACAGGATACTATGGCTCCACATTGCTCCCATGGCAGCCCAAGCTCGGGTGAGGGAGGGCGTGACTGCATTCAGGGTGGGCCACTGCACAACTCCATGGTCCTGGAAAATGAGCTTTCTGAGCCTCAGACTGTTTGTCTGAGAAAATGGGGTAACAGCACCTTCCTTGTAAGGTTTTGTGAGCATAACTGAGATGAAGTACATAAAATGCTCAGCAGCGTACCAGACACAGCAGCCACCACCTGTTTCTACACTTTCACTTCTCTCTTGCACACACCCAGATCCACACTGTCACACATTACTCAAAGTCCCCCAGGACCCTGGGGCACTTCCTTCCTTTGCTGTTGCTCCTTCCGCCACCTAAAATACTCTCAACAGCCTCAGCTTCGCTGGTGGAAATGCTACGCACAACGACAGGGCCAGGTCCCTCATTGTCACATCAGTTTAGTGAAAGCCCTCGCCCCAGGAGGGGCAAGGTGGGGAAGAGGGCCTTTGGGGCCCTTATCACAATAATTCACTTACTCTCCAGGTGTCTGTTTAATGTCCGTCAATTTTGTGAGGGAGAACCCAGGTCTGTTTTATTCACAGTTATATTCTCTTTAATCGGCACTGATTTGGCACTTAATATTTGTTGAATACACAAATAATGAGTAAATAAGTGGACTAATGTAAAAGCACATGACTAAAAGAATAGGGCAAGGCCGAAGATAAGAACAAAAACTGGTTGTGTTGGAAGCTTAACCTGCTAAGTGCTGACAAACTGAAGAGAAGAAAGGAGAGGCAGAGAGAAAGTTAGAGCAAAAGAGTTTATAGGTGTAAACTAGGTCTTAGAGGCAGGAATAAAAATAAGGAACAAAATCAAGAGGTATCTGAAGGAAGTGAAGAACGGATCAGGCATCTGAGGGGATGTGCATCTCAGTGGATTTCAAGATGGACTCACTAGGTAGAATCTGTTGGGGGGAAACAAGAAGCTTCTAAGGGCGCAAGCTCATGCATTTACCTCTAGGTGAGAGGAATTTGAGAGGTAGGTGGAAATGGATTATAAATGCCTAGCAGGTGGTTTGACGTGGGGACTACTGCAGAGGTGACAGCTTAGAGACGAACAGTATGTCACTGGGAGGGGTGCAAAGCCCCAGGTTCTCTTCAGAGGGAAGAATAAAGAGAGCTGACAAACAAGCCATCAAATGATACACATGCCGTCTCCAGAATTAATGAGATGACTGGAAAATGCAAGGTCACAGAAGTCAGGGAAGGGGACATTTAACAATAGGGGCCATCAGTACGGTCAAATGTAGTGAAGAAGTCACAATGGCCTCTCTGACTTGCTTATTAAAAGAAAACCACATGCGAACCTCAAAAGAGGAGTTTCTCTAAAGTGGTGAGGCAGAAAGCAGGAAACGGGGTGGAAGTATGAGCAGCCGGTGAACTGGTGAAGGTGAGGGAAGTACCCGGCATTTACCAGTAGCTGGGCACTGAGAACAAGGGCCGGGAAGGAAAGAGAAGTTTTATTAGGACAATCAACAGCAAACTCTTGTTTCAAAGCTATGTTTCCAATAAAGGACTCTCCATAAAGGAGATCCAGACTGGAAGGCACAGGACTGACAAAGGAGATGGGAGACAATGGCCTCTCGTCTGGATTAACTTGGAAAGAAAGATGGGGACATCTTTCTACTCAACCACAGTGAAAAATGAAAATTAGTGAAAATACAGGGAAGCATGGAGGCGAAGAAGTGAGGCAGCTGAAGCTCCTATCAGTTCACTGGCCCTGAAAGGCTCAAGGAGTTGGGTCACTAGCAAAGTCATGAGTTAAGAGTGAGTGAATGAATTATAAAGCAAGAGCAGCATGCAGTTAGCTGGAAAAGAATCACCAGTCAATAGCTATATGCAGTGTGAAGATGGTATTTGTTTCTGATAGTAACATTTTTAGAAAAATCATGATAGCTGTTACTAGTCTTCAAAGAGGAAAGGCAGAGACACTTTAAAGGTAACTGTTTTTCAATAGCCTACGAGATTTGTTTATATCAATTTTCTGTACATGTAGAAAATATATAAGTCTTCAAACAACAATTTATACTACATGAGAATAAGATCAAGCTAAGAGAATGGACCAAATATTTCCAAAGGTACCAATGAGTTCTGCTCTTTCAAATAAGTATTATTAAAACACTCTTGAGTTGCATAGTTGTAAGTAATATTAATGATTGGAGATCAGTACCAAAGAATTACTCTATTATTTATTATTCCCTGCAAGACACATTTGTTGGGCAGGAGAAAGAATCAACCGGATTGCCCACAGACTCACAAGTGGGCAGTGCAAGGAAGTCTCGTTATCCCCTTAAGGCTAGCCCACTGCTGGCTGTGGGTTGAACACGTCATCTCCCTCGTAAACTTAGTTCTCAAAATCTCATCCCATAGATCAATTACTTTCTTTCTCCAGATAATAGCTCACACTCACAAGATTTAATTGATCAAGAAAGTAGGAGGATGCACATCCAAAAACCCTGGAGGGCTTGTTTAATACAGAAATGAAACTATGCCTCTTGAGACAAATATCCTTAGAAGGAGAATTGGAGTACCTGAACTGAAGTCGGCTCTAAGCCACCCTCATTTCTTTAAAACAAGTGATTAGAAATGCTGCCAAAAGGCATGTGTGTTCACAAAGACATGGTGGTGGTGAGTGTCGGAGCTCTGTGCTCTGCTTTCTCCCTCTTCAGACCTTCTGAGATTTCCAGTGACCCAACAATCGCAGAATTTTCAAGTTAATAAGTTAACGTTCTTTTGAAAGGGAAATATAAATGAATCCCACTCTGAACGTGCTTCCTTTTCTTCTAAAGACTAATGAAAAACAGATAAAGTAGATGCAATTGTCCTGATAAAACAACATACAGCACTTCAAACTTCCCCAACACTCTTTAATTTTGTATGTTCAAATATTCAGATGCAAAGCTGGCATCTGTCACGAAGTGAACCGTACACAGCGTCCCGCCTCATCCCCGAGAAAAGAAGAGCACTTTTTAAAAACAATCAATTTATTTACATAAAATTTTTATTTTAATCTATTAAAATGAAGAACTCTTAAAAGGGGTTATTTCTGTTAGCTGAATCTTTTCATTCGCCATGTTGTTCTGTTAGAATAAAATAACTTCAAGCCCATTCTCATCGGCAGCGCGCCTCGGGCTGCTGTGGGAGAACAGCGTGCTGTGCAGAGGAGGCTGTCCTCCAGGAACAAGAAATTAGCAGGCTCTTCACCTGAACTGGAGTAGTTTTTCTTTAAGAAAATCCTAGAGTTCGATTTGTATAGGACATCTCTGTTCTATGATGGCTTCTAGTCCACAGTATGACAGAAATGAGGCCTTTACCCAACGAATTTGGAGCCTCCTAGGAGCATAACAGATGTCAAGGGGTTTAACTGCATACATTACTCCTCTACTTTCAAGCAAAACACTCCAGACAGGGAGGACAAATAGCTGGATTGCCAGAGGCAGCATTTTGTTTTGCTAAACACCCCAATGCCCAAGACTCTACTTTTGGAATTGGTCTTACATCTAAACGAAATTTCTATACTCACAGGCAAAGCTAAGCTAGGTGGCATAAGTAAAATGCTGCCTTAAAATGTAGGTGCTCACTCAAAACATTCACTAATGTCAAAATGACCACATTCAGAAACTGTAAAATGTTAGAACCAACCCAGCCGGAGAGCTAATCAAATGGTTTAATTACCTCTCCATCCTCCTCCCCCAACCTGGTTCCACAAGGACCACAGGATCCTTTTCAGGGCAGGGCCCTCTGGGTTCAGAGTAATCCCGTTTGAAGCAAATATTTTCAGACATGCAGATTACCTTTAGGAGATGTGGCAAAATAAACAAACCAACTAAACCACTTGCATGTAAAAATTCTGGGAAATGAGTTCATTTTTCTAAGTCATCCCAATCATAGAAAATAACCAAATCAATCAAAGCTAGTCGTGCCCCCAGTAGCAACAATCCAATTACAAACTGCGTGTGTGGCTGTCGTTCATGAACGAAAGGTTAAAGTGCATAACTTGCTCTTCTTCCACTCGTGTGGTAACACACTTTTGTAACCTGAGACGCCTCTCACTTAAAGACTGCAGTCACTCTCAGGGTCAAGAGGTCCAAGGGGGTGTTTGGCTGTCCCCCTCCACGAGAAAGTATCACAGTGAAGGCTCACCGATGGGTATGGTCGTGAGTTAAACCAGAGGAAGGAGAGAGTCAATTCAGACCAGGAGCTGGAGCCTCTCCTCTCCCCTCAGATCCCAGTTCACAGCCCTCTGGGAAATATAAACTCTCAATGAAGTGCACGATTTTAGTACCCTGAAGTGCCCCTTTAGGATGGCATATCAATTAGTTGACAACAGTCATGATTTTTTTTCACAATCCTTGTTTCATCTGCAGATCTTAGGAACTCTTCAAAAACATCCTTTAGAGTTTACAATTTGGTATAAAGGCAAGTACGACTCGTCTTTTCTTGAAAGCACAGCCATTCCATTCATGGCATTTACCTCTCACCTCCTTGGCCTTGGTTCAGGGTCAGGGTCATTGGGACAGTGACATGGGAAGATTCTCAGGCACACGGTGGTTACAAAGGCAGCTATGCGGTCAGACAGCATGGGTTGCAGTCGGGCTCTAATTAACTTCACTGCTCTGCTCCTCAGCTTCTCTCATCCAGAGAGTGGAAACAATACGAAAACCTACTTCCGAGAGCAGTTGAGATCAGAAAATGAGTTAATTCACGACAATATAAGGAATCAAATGTTGGCTATTATTATTCTGAAGTGTAGGCAGAATAAAAATTCTGTCAAAAAGTATAATTTTGTGTCTCCAAATTAACAAATAAGTTGATTATATATGTTTACTACAGTAGTAAAATTTTAAAATAAAAATTACTTGAGAATATTCACCTTTCCAGGGGTTTAATATCAAACTGACACGTCTAGATGAACAGATCAGGATCATTATGTAACTGAAATTTCCAGACGAAATTACTCAAATTCACAGCTTGATTTCAAATTCTTACTGCCAACAAAATTCTCGTGTGAGTTTAAGCGACTAGTTCTCAAACTTTCGTGCCCAGGAGCACCACTTGGAGGCTCATTAAAATGCAGAGGAGGGGTGTGCTCAGAGTTTCTCACTCACTGAGGCTCGGTTTGGAGTCAAGAATGTGCACTTCTCAGGACTTCCCAGGTGAAGCCTGACTGCTGTTCTGTACTTTGAGAACCACTGTTGAAGATTAACATATGCAGAGAAAGACATAACGCAAAACTCAGAAGAAAGAAAGAACCAAAATATATGTTCCCAGCAAAGGCATCAACTCAAGTGGTTCTACTGGTAATAGAAGGACATGAGAGTTCAAAATACTGTGTGTGTGTGTGTGTGTGTGTACACACACCAACAATATTTATATCAAGGTAACAGTGATACAAGGATCCCTCAATTTAATGATAGACTTCCCCAAAAACCAAAAGCTAGGTTAAAAGAAAAAAGAATAATATGTTTATATTTAAATTCTAGTCATGAAAAGCATAAAAGACACTTTATATAATGAGCCTGGCAATGGATACAACTGTTTTTCTTTTCTAATGTAATTTCGGAATCTTATAATTTATAATGGGAGGAAACTGTTTCTCCTACAAAGAGTTGATCAAACACAGATTTAAAATAATGACATTATTAAGCAGGAAAACAACAAAGAGCAAGAGACTTAGCATCCCTAACAAGCACATTTGAGTTAATGTAATTACTTGTTCAAATGTAATATATCGGCCAATGTTGAGCACAACGTGTTTTCAGGTGAATAATCATCTGAGAAAGCAAGCCTGCAACCTTCTCCAGGAAGCGGGCTTCGAAAGGCTTGATCTCAGCTTGGATTGATCCTTTGCAATGGAAAATAACCAAAAAGAAAACTCATCAAGCATCAACTCTATGGGAGGTTTCAGTAAAAAGCCGCAAGATTTTAAATTGCTTTTTAAAAGATGACTTCTCACCCACCCTGCCCCACATTTCCCGGGGAAATAAAAGCAGAAGTCCTAAAAGCAGTCAGACGGAAATCCAGCGTCTGCATAGCTTTGAGTCCACAGCGTTTGAAGGTAATTCTGATTGTGAAGTCCTCTCTCCCTCTCTCCCCCTCTATTTCTCTCCAGAACACGCAAGACTTTACTGATGAAAGCTCAGCGAACTCTTTACCATAAAGAGTTTTAACAACTAAGCAAGGACATTAAGAGGAAAAGACCAGATGCCACTCTGCAGGTTGTGTTAACTGCCACTTACTGGATACACTCAAATCCATCAGAATCAACCGAGTAACCAGGTAACTTTATATGCAGACGTATTTGACAAACATATTTATTTACCGTATGATGTGTGTGTAATTTTCTTTCAAGTTTTCTTAAAATTGGAAACCTTTAATTAATAGCAATGCAAGCACTTATTTGGAATAAAAATTAAAATGCAAGCCACATGAATGGTGTTAGTGACAACCATTAACCTCTTCACTAAAAAAAAAAAAAAAAAAAATTATACAAAGCATGGGAATAAAATGCAAATGGGCTTACTTATTTTACCTGGAGTGTAAAATGAGATTTAAATACAGATGGAGCTGAAATTCTCCATATCAAGAACACTAGTTAAATAAGTTATGCAGAACAGCACTCCCAAAGAAGTTCCAAAACGATCAGAGAATGCACAGCTAAGAGAAAACAGCAGCAGCAGGGAAGGCTACACATCAGTGATCCTGTTAGTAACTAAATACTGGGTTTTGTTTAGCTTTGTTTGTTTGTTTTTTAAGTTACATAGGTGAGGAGGTATTGGAAATTGGAGCCATAATTCTGACAACAGGAATCTTAATCGTTTCAGTTTCAATAATTAAAGGAGGGCAAAAAGAATTCCACTGGCATTTTGGGGAATTTAGTGCTATCTTTATTTGTCATATTTAAATCTTTTGCATGGAAGCTTCTTAAAAAAATTTCAGATATTTGTACCTTTAACATTACTGCGTGTCTTATATTTTGGAACAATTTTCTGTAGAATCAATTCTATTTGTCTTTGATGAAATAAAAATATTACAAACCTCATTTTAAATTTCAAAACATAGATGCCAGATAATGTATTCAAGTCGTGTTAGTTTTCCTGACGGCTGTTGTGGTGTAATAACCCACAGACTCACACAAGGACATGGTTTCCACATTTTATTTTAGCTACCAGGATACACTCCATAAATCTGGACAGCATGCCCTGGCTGTTCTGAGGAATGCCGACAAATGCCCACCTACAGGATGCATATCCTTATTTTCTTACTATTTTAAAATTTGTACTGAATGCTACTTAAGAAAATGTATGTAAAATCTTCACACATACTGAGCAAAGTTGCAAATGCGATATGCGTGGGTTAAATACACTGGGAGCTGAAGAACGGCTCTCGGAGAGGCCGATTTTTGAATGAATGATTGAGCAACATGGAGAAGAAACAGCTTCCAATTATAAAGGAAGCTTATTTTTTTCTGATTCGGCATTTAACAATAAATTTCCCACGAGTGATCTTATACAAACGTCTTTCCATTTTTCCCTTTAAACTTCTAATAGGCTGTTCTCAGTCATTTCCCCCATAGAACCCTTTGATGGACCTAGAGCAAATGAAGTCCAGGAATAAGGACAGTGTAGGAAAAGCGACTTGTGAACAGAAACAAAAAAGTTAAAAGGCATGAAATGAAGCTGGAGAAGAATAAAGCAGAGACCAAACATTTCTCTTCTAGTTTTTATATATAAACATATGCGGGCTTTTGCCTGAGATAAAAAATGCCCCATAAGAGGCAAACATTCAACAGATAAGAAATCCAAGTATCCACCCCGTCACAGAATGTCTTCAGGCCATTTTACTTTGCTAGAGATGAAATATTTGCCACGGTGAAATATTTTGAGATTCCAATTTCTGTGTTCCTACTAACTGCCATGACGAGGATTAGAAACGCCAATTTTTAGAGAAGCCTAGCCAAAAAGGTGACCCATGGAGATAAGAGCAAAATCAACTGTCTAGGCCTGAAAATATCGATCTCTTCCTTCCCCCTCTAGGTAGCAAGGAAGGAACACCAGCCATGGACAACCTCACCTCTGTGGCCAGGAACAGCAGCCTGTGCACCAGAGATTACAAAATCACCCAGGTCCTCTTCCCGCTCCTCTACACGCTCCTGTTTTTCGTTGGACTCATCATAAATAGCCTGGCAATGAGGGTCTTCTTCCAAATCCGCAGTAAATCCAACTTTATTATTTTTCTTAAGAACACAGTCATTTCCGATCTTCTCATGATTCTGACTTTTCCGTTCAAAATCCTCAGCGATGCCAAACTGGGGACGGGACCCCTGAGGACCTTCGTGTGCCAGGTGACCTCTGTCGTATTTTACTTCACAATGTACATCAGTATTTCCTTCCTCGGACTGATAACTATCGATCGCTACCAGAAGACCACCAGGCCCTTTAAAACGTCCAACCCCAACAATCTCCTGGGGGCTAAGATCCTCTCTGTTGTCATCTGGGCTTTCATGTTCTTACTCTCTTTGCCTAACATGATTCTGACCAACAAGAGGCCGAGAGACAAGAACGTGAAGAAATGCTCTTTCCTCAAATCAGAGTTTGGTCTGGTCTGGCATGAAATCGTCAACTACATCTGTCAAGTCATTTTCTGGATTAACTTTTTAATTGTCATTGTATGCTATACGCTCATTACAAAGGAACTGTACAGGTCCTATGTAAGGACAAGGGGCACGGGCAAAGCTCCCAGGAAAAGGGTGAACGTCAAAGTTTTCATTATCATTGCTGTGTTTTTCATTTGTTTTGTTCCTTTCCATTTTGCCCGAATTCCCTACACGCTGAGCCAGACCCGGGACGTCTTTGACTGCCCTGCTGAGAACACTCTATTCTACGTGAAGGAGAGCACCCTCTGGCTGACGTCCTTGAACGCGTGCCTGGATCCCTTCATCTACTTCTTCCTCTGCAAGTCCTTCAAGCACTCCCTGATGGCCATGCTGAAGTGCCCCAATTCTGCAACGTCTCCAGCCCCGGAAAACAGGAGAAAAGCACAGGCTGGTGGTGACCCCAGCGAAGAGACTCCAATGTAAACGAAGGAGGCAGCAGTGCGTCTGCTGGCGTTCGGAACGCCTAAAAGGAAAGCACTATGAAAACTATTAACATGACTAAGAAGCAGCTGAGTCAGTAAAGTCGACTCTTGAAACAAGTAATACAAGACTACAGAAGGACTTTTCCAGCATTAAAAGCTATCTTAAAATGTAGAAAAATAAGCTACCTTGCAGCTGTGTAGTAAAAAATCAGCGTCCAATCCCTATGCTATGTGCAAAACTACACAGAATTCATGGTTTGCAGGGTTTTGGCAAAATGGGTAACCATATAGTAGTATCTATTCCAATTCTTTAAATACATTATTGATCACAATTTTTTTTTTATGATCAACTAAGGAAGAATGATAAATTAGATAACAACTTCTGACCAAAAGTTACACTTAAGATGTACATACATCCTAGTCCCCTAACCAGATGCTGACCTCTTATGATACTCACTAGAAAAACTGAAGTCAGCGGGACACGCCAAGAAGAACAGCTACTAACTTTTAATTATTAGCAAAAACCTAAAGGATTTAAACTAATTGAAATGGTAATTGATTGGACCGAATTTTTTTTTTAATTTTTCATTAAGGTAGAGGTTTAAAAAATATCTTTCCAATAAAAAGAGCAGAAATGGCAAAGTTATTAAAACAAGGAGTTATTTTTATGACATTCTAATACCAAAATAATATGAATATTTCCTTAACACTAGAGAAACCAGCTTTACTAATATTCTGACAACTTCAGTAAATATAATACCATCACTGACACTTAGCATTATTAACTAGCTTCTAGAAACTACCTGCTACTTGGGTTACTGAACATTTTCCATAGTGAGAAAAACAGGTTAAATATGATTACGCAGTTGCACAGCATAACTGTTAACAGGAAAATGATTCAAATGTTCGGAATTACCTGCTTGTTATTTGTGTGTACAACAAAAAGTTTACATTAAACTCTAAATCACACTTTGTTGGAATTTCTTTGCTCAAAGAGATTAGAGAGCATGACTCACCTCCTGCACACTCCCACATCAATCACACACCAAACCCGTCTGGGGAAGCTGAGCTGCCAACACTGTTTCATGACACGGTTGGGGGCAACGTGTCTTCTGAAGGTGACACCTCATATCAATTAGTTCATAAGTAAATGACAAAATAGGTCAAAATTATAATGGAGTCAGATGCCACATGAGCCATATTATTTTTAATATAAACAAAACATGTAATACACTTGGAAGCTGACATCATTTATCTCGATTATTTATGACCCTTAGAGGTGATTCTCAAATAGAAAGCGTAGATACCAGTATCTAAACATAACATGAGAAGACACTAAGGGGTGAGCGGCAGTATAAGGAAGTTCACTGAACTTCAATAATAATCGATTTTATCCAAACCCTCCACAAGTTCTGCTGAGCTAAACTTCAGCACAAAGTTGAACTTATTTTTTTATATTTTTTTGTTTTCTTAAGGAAGATCAGCCCTGAGCTAACATCTGCCACCAATCCTCCTCTTTTTTGCTGAGGAAGGCTGGCCCTGAGCTCACATCCGTGCCCATCTTTCTCTACTTAATATGTGGGACGCCTACCACAGCATGGCTTGCCAAGCGGTGCCATGTCCACACCCGGGATCTGAACTGGCGAACACAGGCCGCTGAAGCAGAATGTGACAACTTAACCGCTGCATCACTGGGCCGGCCCCAAAGTTGAATTTATTTAATTCTCTTAATAGTATCTACTCTCAAGTGGCCACATTTACTTCTCTGGCACTGCCACAAGTGAGCACTGGATGTCAGTGCAGATGAACAGAGACACGCGTCAAAAAAGAAGCATATTCTACATACCACTGGGACAAAAGCTAGCCTTTTCTGCCACATAGACTAATGCAATTCACTCCAATGTCCTAAGTGTGCACGGTCTGTGAGAATACCAGGATATCTGAGATGAAAGAGGAACCAGAGATCAACTCATACGACCCTCTTATTTCGCATTTGGGAAAAATAAGGGGTAGATCCATCTCACAACCCACCCAAGCCAGGGGCAGAGTGGATTAACACTGACCACCTCAAGGAGCCAGGACCACATGAGGCGCTGCGAGCTGCGGAGTGGGCAAAGACTTTCCTGCATCATCTCCCATTTTCAATTAAACTAATTCACTGGGTGGCAATCTCCACAAAAGAAAGAAAAAACCAGAAACACTAACGATATTACGGTACTTTTGCAAAAGAACTGTAAAGTGTTCGGAATTACCTATATTTTCACATATAATACTAAAAATTTACATTAAACTCTAAACACACTTTGTTGAGAATTCTTTATCCAAAGATATTAGCATATACTCCCATATCAAACGTCAAACTGAACATATGCAAGATAGACTGAGAGATGAGTATCCCAGAGTGCTCATTAGACACAGAACAGGTCACCATCTCCAGCTTTAGGAATTATAATAATTAAAATGTAAATACGTATCTGCACACACATTAGTCCATATACGTAAGGGGGGACAAACTCACACTGTCGACTATATATGTGTCTCTATTTGAATTCTTTAAACTCATTTTCCTTTTATAATAAAAAGATGAAACCAAGTATTAATATAAATTGTTTCAGATAATACTGTGAATTTATTGCCTATTTACAGCTATACATAAATTTTCTAATACTGATTTATAGACACAGATTGCTACATTTATTTTATTTTTTATTTTTTTTGAGGAAGATTAGCCCTGAGCTAACTACTGTCAATCCTCCTCTTTTTGCTGAGGAAGACTGGCCCTGAGCTAACATCTGGGCCCATCTTCCTCTACTTTATATGTGGGACACCTACCACAGCATGGCTTTTTGCCAAGCGGTGCCATGTCCACACCCGGGATCCGAACCAGTGAACCCCGGGTCACCAAGAAGCGGAACATGTGAACTTAACCGCTGCATCACCGGGCCGGCCCCTCATTGCTACATTTAATGTTAAGTTGTGCAACTTATTTTAGCTTATTGTTACCAGTTTTGGTTAATCCAGAGTGGAATTTTTAAACAATCTCATATAATCTGAGAAAGTACCACGGTATACTTGGAAATAAAAGGCTCTTCTATGAGTACAGGACTTTCCACCTTGACTTTCATTCCAATTAAAAGCAAACACTTGCTCACCTTTTTAGACATTCATTATACGGTACTGGTTACCACACCGACAGGAACCTTTAGACTGTTAACGCTGATCCAAAGGAAAACCCAAAGGAAACTACAAACGGGAAAAGTAGTTTTTATTCCCATTTGGCAGGTTTCGAATTTCTATGACTTTTCATTATACCTTCTTTGATTCTCTCCTGATCGTACTGCTTTGAACCAATTTATGTTTTCAACTTCACACCTCATTTTGAGGCAGAAAGTTTCACAAGTCCAATAACCTTGATAGTTGATTGTTTCCCCCCAAACGTCAATCAGTAATATTCGACTCAAAACCTCCAGAATCTGGGAAACAATTGTGTCCACCCTGTCTGCGGCTCCTGACCGTCAGGGGAGGAAGCAGGTTCTGGTCTGCAGGGGGCTTGGGCTGCCTGACTTTGGGCAAACGGCTTCACTCGTGGGCTTCAGTTTTCTCACCTGTAGAATGGGACCCATCTCTGAGGACTATTGTAAGCAGTAAACCAGATCATGTCATCACTTACAACAGGATAGTGGGTGTGATGTTAATGGCTTTGACTACATTCTGTTGAGCCTCACAGGATTTAAATATTTAGTTTATTGCCACTTGTCAGGCTCCTAATTTCTGGCACTTTTCATCGTAGCTTCTTTGATTTTTCCCAAAAATGCCCATGGCATTCCATTTTTCCTTTAATTTCACTTAACAAGAAACATACTCACCCCTACCACATGACAGGCATTATTCTATGCACTTGGTGAATGATCACTCATTTTTTTCCCCTAACAATCCAACAGAGCAGATACCGTTACTTCTTTTCATTGTAAAGAGAGCACAAATAACTTGTCAAGGTCTCAAGAAAAGTTGGAACAAGGAATTGAACCCAGACACTGGCTCCCCAAGGCCGTGCTCTGGTCTGCCCTGCAGCACAGCCTCTCAGACATGCCCTCGAGGGGAGAAGACCGCCCTGGGGCACCAGCAGGGCTGGGAAGGAGGGGTCAGTCAGCTGATACACATGGAGCACAGGGACATAAGGAAGGAGCAATCTGTTGGATATTAACTAGGGTCAAACGTCTTGAAACCTACAACATTTAAAAGAATATGCTTCCTAATTCTGGAAATGAGCACCATAAGTCAGTTCCTCTTTTGAAAGTTTCCCACATTTTAGTATTTCAAAATTTGACCAAAACGTGATTTCCAATTTTCATATTATGAAATTCTCCTGTATGGCATTTCCCTTGTTTACACTGAAACTATTCCAAATCTTCACCTAGATAATGGGTTTGGAGCTGTGGGAGAAATTAACACTTAATTATGTTGGTCAAATCTAGCTCCTTAAAAAATAAAAGAAAAGTTTGCTTGTTTTTTCCCTCTACTGAAGCAAACAAAAAGATATACGTTTAAATTATGTTGCATTACATTACTGAAATCCAGAATCTGTATTTCTATGAATCAATTATTTTGAGTCAAAAACATATTTTTCAAACTGTACCACTATCGGGTAGTTCCAACCAAAATCAGCGGGCATCTTATTGCCTCATATTTAAAAATGTCCAGTGGGATACGGAATTTTTACTCTCAGAATCCCATGCCAAGTTACCTAAAAATTCTCAGTCAACAAGACCCCACAGTCTGGTCCAAATCTGTGGTAAATCTTGTACAAAAAATATGAAGTGAAAGTCACCATGGAGAATGCCACCTTCCCTCCGAAGATCTCCAAATTTCTTCTTTCCCTTTATCTACCTGGCAAGGAAACATTTCTGTCAGAGACAACAACATTTTCCGTATAAAAGTAGCAATTACGCCCTTTCAAACTTGAATAGATTAAAAGGAAAAACGTTACAGACCTTGGCCCAAAGTTGATTGATGAAATTCCTGAAGCCTTTGGCACTTCACATACAACATCAAATACAGAAGAGATTTCCAAAAACAGCTGTCTAATGAGTCAAACAGTGTATCTCCAATTAAATCTGCAATCGCTCACCACAGGAGTGAGTGGCTAACATTTTTCAGCGCTCCAGCATTATTCTGGGCACTCAGTTCACCCCCTCAACAACACTGTGTCTTAGTTACTATCATTAAACCCATTACACAGATGAGTAGACGAGGAAATGGAGGCACAGAGCTATTAAATCATCTGACTATGATCTAGACCCCAACAACTGGTGGATCTGGGATTCTAACACCAAAACTCAGGGTCTAATAGCCCCTAGCTCTTAGAAAATATGTGATTTTATCTCTCAGAGACTAGAAGACCAAAAGACTAAGATAAATGTCTATATAAATAAATAGGCCATCCTAATGAACACAAATTTCTGGAAAAAGCAGTCTACAAGGATGCAGAAGACGATTCTGTCTGATTTTAGAGTTAACTCTTACTCTCCTACTTGGTTGCAATTTGGGGTTATTTTCTTTATCTTTTCTGCCTCTTATTATTACATACAAGAGGGACTCAAAAACTTCATTGAAAATGTAGATAGGATAAACTGCAAGAAAGTTATAAATATATGTAAAGATAACTGGAACTAAACTAAACCAATTCAAGTCATAGTAGATTAACAGGACCTAAGTTTGCAATGAGAGGATTTTTATTAGAAGATCTCCCAGAGGTCTGCCTAAGAAGAAGGTCTGAGTGACCACAGTGCACACAAGAAAATGAGGAAGGAACACCAGTATAAGAAAGCAGGGTGCCAGCTGCCTCCGGTTCCTCGCAGCCGACCTGATGCCCGCCTCGTCAGAGGACACTCAGACGGGCGGCCTCCCTTCGAAGGTGAGTTCTCATTTGTATTACGAGTGGGCTTGCTTAGGAAAGACAGAATATGTTC